CACCTGCAGGTTCTTGCGCACGATGTCGAAATAGGAGGCCACCAGCAGGCGCGTCACCTCCACCTGCACCCCCTCCTGGTCGCTCACCGCCTTGGGCACGCGCAGGGTCTGCAGGGGCGGAACGTGCCGGGCAGAGGAGACGAGCAGGCAGGCAGGCAGGGCAGGTCAGCAGGTCCGCTAGACATGCTGGCAGCTGACAAAGTGGAGGCGCCAGGGGAGCACCAACAGTCCCTGGCGCCGCCGGGAGGGACCAGCCAGGTCCATGCCTGCAGCAGGCCGGGGAGCACACACAGCACCCACCGGCGGCGGCCGACGCAGAGCGCCGTCGTCGTGCCCTGGGTCCGAGGCGCTGTCCTCCCCGCCGCGTGTGCTGGCAAACCAGTTGGCAAACCAGCTGCCCTTGCCGCCTGCCGAGTCGCTGCTGCCAGGGATGCTGGCCAGGCCGGGGCGGGCGCCTGCGCCGCCGCCGTCGGCCTTGTCGCTACCTGCACGCCATACAGCCCTCAGTGAAACTGGTCAGCAGCGGCCGCTGCTTGCTGGGCAGCCCACCAGCCAGGCAGCAGATTTGGAGCAAGCGGAGAGCACAGCGCAGGGAGCAACGCAGGCGGATACAAACCCGAGGCGCCATCCCCCAGCAGCTCTTCCGGGTGGTACAGCTCCGGCTCCACCCCCCTCAGAGCCGCCTTGGCCGCCGCCGCCAGCCCGCCGCGCTGCCCGCCGCCGCCGCCGCCAGCAGCCAGCGCGCTGGTGGATTTCGACTTGTGCGGCGCGCCGCCGTCGCGGCCGTTGGCAGCGGGTAGCGGCGCCTCCTCATCGCTGCTGCTGGCCAGGCCGCGGCGCTCCAGCACCTGCGGCAGCCCGGCAAGCCAGCGTGGACCTGTTGGTAGACAGCAACATAACGCCTGACGAAATCTCAGACCCTGCCAGGTGCGCACTCTGCCAGCGCTCTTCTGCGTCTGCTACTCCGCCCTGTTCCTGCCGCTGCACCATCAGCGCTGCCTGCCTACCTCACCCCTTCCACGCCTCCGCACACCTGAGCGATTGCGCGGTTGCCCCCCACAAACTGCGGGTGGCTGGTGTTGATGTATGCCAGCTCGCAAGCCACCAGGTTGCGGATCTGCTGCTCCGCGGGCGCCGTGCCGCCCGCGATAAACTCCTCCACCGCCTCAGACAGCAGCGACTGCGGTGGCGGCGGGGGCAGAGTAGCGAGGGAGGGCAGGCGCGGCAGCGGGATGTTGCGTAAGAGGCGCTGGCGGGAGAGCAGCAGCCAGGCGGCGGGTCACGGGCAGGCCACGGGTGCGCCGTCGCCTGTGCAAACCAGCTGTGGCGCAGTGCCCTGCCTTGTGCCCACCCACCCACCCACCACCAGCAGCCACCCCCAGCCACCTCCACTTTGCCCCCTACTCAACCCCAGCAAAGCACCACCACCACACACACACACACACGCACACACGCTCCCGGCTCACCCCCAGGATCTGGAAGCGCTTGACCTCTGGCGGCGCGCACTGGCTGGCGATGCGCAGCAGCTCGCTGTGCACAAAGTCCTTGCACTGCAGCGCGGGGGGCAGCAGGCGGTCGATGGCGCGGCGCACCAGCAGTTCAAAGGGCGCCTCGGGGATGAGCAGGGAGCCCTTGATGCCGCCGCTGTTCTTGATGGCGGTGCGCACGTCGTCGTCAGTCAGCTCACTGCGGCAGGTAGGTGGTGTGTGTGTTGGGGGGGTGGGGGTAGGAATGGTGGGCCAGGGTGGATGGTGTGCGGCGCGGTGTGGCGGGTGAATGAGGAGGGCTGGGCGTGAATGCGTGCATGCATGGCACACCAGGACGAGGGCAACCGAAACACCAGAGGGCAGGAGGCCGCGAGGTGGGCTGGCGGCTGACGGTTGAGCACAGCTTTGAAAACGTAAAAAGGGCAGGCCGAAGGCTACCACTGGGGTGGGATGCCCGCCCGCCCACCTGGTGGGGTCCAGCTCCTCCAGCCCCGCATTGAAGATTTCCTGGAAGATGTGTCGGATGCGGGCGCCCCCCGCCAGCTCGCTCACAGGCATGTGCTCGCTGCGCCCGTCCAGCATGGCGCTGCGGAACCAGACATGCGCACACACAGCGTCGGTCGAAGAGGGGTGCGGGGTGGGGTGTTGTTGCGGCCTGTCGGAAGAACCCCGCTCTCCTGCCTGCCCCCAGCCGCCTGCCACGCACCAACACGGCTGCCGGCCGCCCAGCCCACCTGAAGCGGCTGGCATACGCGTCGAGGATGGTGAGCAGCAGGCCGCCCCGCGCCGCGGTGGTGTTGCCCGGCGGCGCGTCGCCGTACATGGTCAACTCGCGGCGGCGCGCCGCCGCTGCCTCCTCGATCTTGGCACGCAGGCTGGGCAGCAGGCCGCGGATGTGCTCCACAAGCAGCGTGTTGAGCACGCGGGCCAGGTGGCCCACGCCGCACTGCGGGGGCGGCAGGGGCAAGGGGTGGGCCGGTCAGGGAAGGTTACCGGCGGGACCGGTGAGGCGCAGGTTTGCATCGAGTCTGTGCGCAGCCTCCTGCCCCTCCCTCTGTTTCCACAGTGCCCACCAGAGATTGCACCCATGTGCACCCCCACACACAAGCGGCGCCGGTGCAGCAGCAACGCCCACCTGAGGCGTGCAACACCTCCCAACAAAGCAAGCACCACCGCAACTCCCCCACCTGCGGCACGCCACCCCCACAAACCTGCGGCGCCACCTCCATATACTCGGGGTGGCTCTCGAAGAAGGCGCGCTCCGCCCCCCGCGCATCCGCCATGCGGCGCCTGTTGGCAATGTCCTCCTGGCTGCGCAGCACGACGCCCACAAAGCCCAGGGCCAGCGGTACCGCCTCGTTCCTCAGCACCGCCACCGCGTCGGTACCGCGGTCCATGATGTCCAGCTTGGTCAGCACGCCTGCGGGTGGGTGGGAGTGCATTAGGCACAGGCCAGGCCGCATGGTGTAGGCCAACAGAAGCGGCTACAGAACGAATGGGATGCGTGGCGCAGCAGCACAGAAATGATCACCACTGCCCGGCAGCACCCCGGCACCGCAGAAGCAGCATCCCGGCGCCGCTCACCGATGGTGCGGCGCCCCTCTGGGTCCACCTGCCGTGCCATGTCCAGCGCGTCGCTGTTCACGATGTCCTGGTTGGCGGGGGACACCGCCAGGATGAGGCAGGTGGGCGCCTGCGGGCGAGAGGGGCAGGTGAAGGTGGGTGGGACATGGTGGCACACAGGCTTGAGGGCAGCTGCAACTGGCTTCCTCCCGCTGGCTCGTTCCTCAGGGTAGCCGACACCATGCCACGACATGCCACTGCCTTCAAACTCTTGGCGCTGGCCTACCATGGACCAGCCCCTTGCCATCAACCAACCAGGCACCCTCCTGCCCGCCACCCACACACCTTGATGTAATCCAGGATCAGGGCCCTCAGCCGGCCCTCAATGTCGGTGGGCTGGTCCCCCACCGGCACGCGAGTGATGCCTGGCAGGTCCACCAGTGTCATGGTACTGCGGGGTGGAGGCAGCGGCCAGGGCGTATGGCGTGGGGATGGGGGCATAGAGAAACGAGGTGGGCAGCTGGCTGCCAGGCGCCTCTGTCGCGGGGCTGTGTGCGGCCAGAGCGATCTTGCCGCACACCCGCTGCCGGCTTGAGATGCAGCACCAGCAGCAGCAGCGGGGGGCGGCGGCGGGCCCACTCACAGCACGTTTGGGGAGAAGATTTTGAGGCGGATGGGCTTCTCCGAGATGCCCTTGTTGCCACCCACCAACCGCTCTGTCTCCATCAAGATTTCCTGAAAGTAAAAATGCGGGGCAGCAGGCATGGGCAGGCTAAGCACGGCTGGCACTTTTGGCCTGGGTGGCACTGCAGGTGCCCACTGCTTAAGAATGTGGTTGTACGTGGAGTGATCAACGCAAACATTCACAAGACAGCAGGTATGATATGCCGGCATCAAGCCGCCCGCCCGCTCGGTGCCCAGCACCCAGCACTCGCGTGCCGGTCAACCCACCTGTCGGATCCGGTCAAAGTCGTATATGCGCTTTCCCTGCAGGTGCAGGAACTCCCCCCACTCGGCATACTGCCCCGTCACCGGTGGGGTCTTGACGAGCTGCAGGATGAGCGGTCGGCGCGTGACGATGTTGGATCCGCGAGGAAGAAAGTCGCGCCCCACCAGCGCCTCCAGCACGCTGCTCTTGCCGGAGCTCTGGCTGCCCACCACTGCGATCTGTGGCAGGTCAAGCTTCACATCCGAGGAAAGCTGCAGGGGCAGGAGGGTAGGAAGAGCAGGGAAGGCTTGGGATGGAGGCTTTGGAGGAGAGGAAGGCCACAGCTGAGGACGCCGAGCCAGGTACAGCGGTGCATGCCAGCATCCAGTAACAGCACTGAGGCTGGAGAATAGTGACACTAAGCAGGTGCAGCAGACAGGGCACCGGCAGACGCTGGCGGGGCAACATGCCGCGGGTGCTCTGCTGCCACGCGCGCCCGACACCGTCACACCTGGCTGAACACGTCCTGTAGCTTGTTGATAGCCGGAATGATGGATTCCCCCAGCGCTCCCGAGGCCAGGAAGGCCATGTTGGTGCCCCGCGGCGTCGTCTGCAGCTCCATTGCCGGCTGCTGGCGATGCGGCACTTCGGCCGGCCGACGGGCAGGGTGGGGTGGGGCCGGCGCCGCGGCCCTCTCAATTGGCGGCCCTAGCTTGCACCCGCGTCTCTTCCCTGCCGTTCACCCAGGCTCCCTCCTGCCAGAGGAGGAGGCGCCGCGAGGATCGCCCCCAACTGCTTGTCGGCCAAATGGTGCTCAGCGGCGGTGTGTTGGCAACGAGAATGCCGGTAAATTCTCCCAACAACCGTTTAGCGGCACAGGGGAGGAAGGGCCGCAGAAGGCCACGCGTGGCCACGCTGGATCTCAGTTGCTTTCGCTCAGAGGACGTGCCCTTGCATGCCCTTTCCTGCCTCGAGATTGACAGCAGTGTTCCATCTTTGACGTCTCAAAAGCCCACAGCAACAGTCAGGCCATGTGCATGTGCAGCATCTCATCAGCGGCACAAAATTGGGCGTCACAGGTGCTCCCTAAATGCCAGAGCCAAGTGCTCAACCGCCCTCTGCAGAGCGCCTGCTGGAGTAGTCTCGGACCATTTCACTGGGTACAGTTACAGCGGCAGTAGCCATCTGTCCAACCAGCACAAACAATGTACATTGACGGTTGGTTGATTGCATGCAGTTGGTGGATCGAGTCAGTTTCGGCGAGGGAAGCGAGCAACGGCAAGGCAAAGGAGATGGCAGTGCAAGGTGGGCAGCCGCAGGGGCCATGGAAAAGACAACTAAAGGCAGGCAACAGACGTTGCGATCTTGTCGTCACATGACGCATGGGGAGGAGGATGGGTGGGGAAAAGGGCCTCGCTGAGAGAGCCTTGGAGCAAAAGGGGGTTGGAAAAGAGCCTCACAGGACTGATGAGGCGAGCAAACTAAGGGTGGGAAAAGGGGCTGGAGCAGCAGCCTCGAGCAAAACGCCATGCTGCCCGCATAAGAGGTGGCCGGGGCGGGCAGCCAATGGTGGCAAGTAAACAAAATGGAGCAGCTGCGCAGGGAGGCGGCACGCTTGGGATGGTTCGGCCTCGTTGCGGCGGCTGGGAGAAAAGAGCAGGTTCTGGCTTCGTAAGTTGTTTCTTGAAAGGATCGACGGTGTGAATTCTGCCAGCGCTGTGCTCATGTGCACGGCGGCGGACGGGAGATAGTGGCCACGCTAAAGGCCGAGAAAGAGGTGGGACACGAAAGGTGGGAGGTGGCGCCGGCGCCGCTGGCAGGCAGCGGGCACGAACAATAAAGTGCACGACGGGTTAGAGGGTGGAAAGCGCAAGGCTGCAGCTAGAGGGGGCAAGACAATTAGAGAAAGAGGGGATGGGCTACAATGAACACGAGCAGCAGCAAGGGGGAGGGGTCCAAGCAGGGAACAGCGGGTAGAAAGCATGGCAAGCGTCAGGGGGTGGTTCGGCGCGTATGCCAGAAATGGGGAGCTACAGCCCCAGGGCAAGGGGGAAGAGAATGTGGGCAAAAAAAACATCAGTTCGGTGTCATGCACGCACGGGCGCGCCAGCGGGTCGGGCCGGCACAGCAGCGCGAGGCAGCGCAGGGATCAGCATTCATTACCTCACCCCCTGGGGTCCCCAGGTGAGGCGAAAGTGGTGGCGGTCTAGGCTGTGGGCCGCATGGGGAGGGGCCTCAGCGCCGTCCATGGGAATCAGTGGAGGCAGCGCCCCGACGATCACGCAGCAGCTCGGCACAGCCGGCCTTGCCGCCCTTGCCTGGCGAGTCCAGCAGGCTGCTCAGCGTGCCGCCAGTGTGCATGGTGGCCACCGATGTGGGGCTGCTGACAGGGCTGGCCGGGTGCTGCCGATGAAGATTGGGGCCTGACGCCCCCCGCCGCTGGCTGCTCTGCCCGCCGCTGGTGTCAGCGCTGGCTGTGGGGCTCTCGTCGCCGCCGTGGGCAAACATGGAGCTGCTCACAGGAGAGGGAGGTGCCAGCTTGGGGCGTGGCATCACACCACGGTAATGCCCCTGATCTGCACAAAGCAAAGCACAGACAGAGCGGGGAGCAGGCGTCGGCGGGGTGGCTCGCAAGGGCGCAGAGGTTGGGCAGGCCTCCTATAAGCTGCGGGTGTGACGGCTGCCGCAGTGCGCCTCCGTGCAGCGATAGCCAGCATGACCACAGGCCCAGACCACAGGCCGCGCCCAGTTGGCAGCTCTGCCGACACACAACAAGAGCCACCGGCCACTCACTGATGACAAAGTCCAGCGGCGGCTCATAGCTGTCGAGCAGCACCAGCGAGCGATCTGCCGCCACGGGCCGCTCCCCATCCACTACGGTGTAATAGGTGCAGTCCCGGCCATCATCTGCAGGCAGCCAGAGCAGCAGCAGCGGAACGGGTGGGCGCTGGGCAAGGGCGGGGCCTGGGCAGCAGGCGTACCAGCGGGGCGGTAACACGCCAGGCTGGGGCAAGGCTACGGATAACACCGCCCCGCACCTGTGCTGTAGGGCGGCGACATCAGGTCCAGCACCGCGCAGTCTGTGTGCGCTGTGAACTCGTGGATGTTTCCGCCGGCGCGCGGGAAGAGCACGACGGGGGGGTCGTCGGCGGTGCGGGTGGCATCCAGGACACGGCGCGCGCCGCGCGGCAGCGCCGTCTCCTCTCCCGCCTGCGGGTCGAGCCAGTCGTAAGAGGTGACGTGCATCTGGCCGTAAAGCACCCTGCAGGCAGCACAGGCAGGGCAGGGTATGCGGCAGGTGAGGTTGGTGGGGGCGTAGCGGCGACGCCAGGCAAGCTGGCACACAGGGTGGACACAACGGTGAAGCGACGCGATGGTCGATGTACCCCCCGCAATGCGGCTCGGCATGCAAGCGCGGGAGCAGCCCAGCTGCCGGGGCTGTGCTGCCACGGCCTGTGCAGCACCCATGGTGCAGGCCGCGGCAGGCAGGCCGCGCTGCGGTGGGCTGCGCCCGCCCCTTGGAGAAGGTCAGCGGCCGCACCTGGACAGCACCGTCATTCCCGGGTGGTTGTGCAGCGGGATTTTGGCGCGCGCAGGCAGGCAGAAGATGCCCAGCGACACCCGGCTGTCCTCATAGATGAGCAGGTAGGTGATGGGGGGCCGGGGGTGCCGTCGGTGCGCGTCGCCGGCGTAGCCGTGCTCTTGCGTGTCCATGAGCGCGTGCGTGCCGTCGCTGAGGCCCGGCGAAGAGGAGCGGGAGGAGGAGGAGGAGTCCATCTCGTATGGGTGCTGCGAGAGCCCCAGCTCCTCCAGCGGCACCTGGCCTGCAGGGCGGCGCGGGAAGGGGGTGGGCGCAGGCTTGAGCACCAGCACGCGGGGCAGGCTGGGGGCGGCGTCGGTCCCGCTGGCCGGCTGCTTCCGCGCGCCTTGCCCCGGGGCGCGCCCACTCACTCAGCGTTCGCTGCAGCGCGGTCATCTGCTGCGCCGTGGGGAGCCCCGGCTGGCTAAACGTGGCCTGAGCGATGTCAAGCAGGAATTGCAGCCGGCTGCGTAGCCCCGCGGGGGAGCCTTTTCCTGCGCCCGCCTTCACGGCCCGAGGGGCGCTGCTGCTGCCACCCGCCGCCTTCTGAGCGAGCCCTGCGCCAAGCCCCGGCAAAAGAGGCGTGCTAGCCACCATGCCCGACCTTGCCCAGGCCTCCGCCCCGGCGGTCTTGCCCGGCGGTCCCAGGGTGCGGCTGAGGGCCGCTAGACTGGCTGAGCGGAGAGCCACCAGGCCAGGGGGAAGGCTCGGCCCCACTGGCACAGGGACTGTCTGTGGGAGGGTGCCACGGCAGGGACTTGCAAGCCTAAAACGGCTTCCAGGGAGTCGCAAAGAGGAGAGTGACAGGGCCGGGGAGCAAGCGGCAGGTCTAATCAGCACGGGAGAGACACGCAGCCCTCCCCATGCAGCGACTTTCAGCCTCTTCGATGGAGATCTGTGCACGTTCGTAGGATCCCTGAGCGCCCCCCGATGGCATTCAGAGCGGCTGGCGCGTTCCGGCGAGGCGGTCATGGAGATGGTCATCTCGGATGCCCATGGTGAGACTGTGAGGAATTAGCAGCCCAGGGCCTCGACAGTGCTGCAGAGATCATGAAGAAGATCATACCAGAGACGGCAGCCTGCAATGGGCACAAAAACGCCCGCCACCGCCCGGCCGCACTTTTCGCCGGTCAAACGCTGCCGCCCGCTTCGCCGACCGCCGCGGGCGCTGCCACTCCCGCTCCCTCGCACTCCACCAGCCACAGCTCGGCGCCGCCGTACCGCTGCTGCTGCTGCTTCTGGGGTGCCTTGGAGATGCTGAACCGGGCGCCCGTCAGCTGAGCAGCCACCATGCATGCAGTGCGGGTATGCAGAGTCGGCTCCCCCGTCAGCAGCCGCGAGCGGCCCTGCGTGCAGCAGCAAGAGGGATGCCACGCACCAGTGAGGCTCCGGTGAGGCTATCACCACAGTGGAAAGCAAGACTATCACCTCCCGCTTCTGTTCCTGGGCCAGACTATCACCTCCCGCTGCACACACTCCAGCTGTTGCCCAACTCACAGCCCCACCTTTGCCAGCGCCATGAAGATGATCAGCTGATCCTGCAGCCACTGATCGGTGCAGGCCCCGCTGGCCAGCGCATCCATCAACTCCTCCGCCGCCCGCTGCCCTATCGCTTCCGCGGGCACCCCGCGCTCCCCCAGCCCTGCGCCACATAGGCAGATGGCAGAGGAGGGCACATCAGCTGCGCAACCACGACTCGGCTGCCATCACAAAAGGACAGAAAGAGAGCAACAGCCGGACGATAAGCTCAGGAGCAGCACAGAGCCAGTCAGCCTCCAGGCAGTAGACAGAGACGGCAAGACGCACCCGAGGCGCCAAACACGCAGCCGGCGCTGCTGCGCGCGGTGACCAGGACGCCGCAGCCGTCGCCAAAGGCGCGCTCCCCCGGCTCCTGCACCACCTCGATGCTGACGGGCGTGTCGCGGGGCACGCCGCAGCGTGGCATGCACGCCTTGACCTCTGCAAATCACGCCAGGCAGCTGCTCATCAAGCAGCAGCAGGTCGAGCCAGTCGCTGACGCACGCCGCTTGTGTGCTGCCTCGCAGCGCCCCACCGGTCGGCGCGCGTTCCCCCACCTTTGTGCGCCGCCGCCGCCAGGCGGTCGCCGATAGTGGGGACAAGGCGGCCGGCGGTGAAGGCCTGGATAACAATGCCCGTGATCTCCCCTCGCTCAGTCAAGTCGATGGCCGGCAGGCAGGCACCAGGCGGTAGCCGCTGTACAGACAGAATGACTTGTCCCTGGCCCCGCGGGAAGAAGCCGCGGCGCAACAGCTCCATCTCTGCCTGCACCCCCAGCCTGCTGCGCAGCACGGGCAGCAGCACGTGCTGCATGTAGCCCGCCGGCGGCGCCATGGCGGCATCGGTGCCGCCTCGCAGGTCCAGCTGCGACGTCGTGCCGGCCTGCACTGCGGACTGCAGCGCTGTGGCAGGTTTCGGGCCCGCTCCAGGCCCTGCTGCTGCGGGGCCAACGGCACCGCCGCCATCTGGCCCTGCTGCCGCCGCCGCAAACAGGAGGCAGGGCAGCGCCGACTGCGCCAGCAGCATGCAGCTGCCCGCGGTCCTGGTGTCGGCCAGGTGGTGGCTGCACACCAGGCGGCCGGGCTGGAGCTTGATGCACGAGGATCCCACCTCGCCGCCCCTCAGCTGGCCGTCACACAGCGCCGCAATCAGCTGCAGCCCCGTCGTGTGCTGCGGCCGCAGGCCTGCGTGGCAGCCAGCAGCGGCTGATGAGGCTGAGGTGGGCAGCCGCAGCATCCCCGCCACCTGGGAAGCAGCAATGGATGAGCAAGAGGCATTCAAACCTGGCTTGTCGCGCCCCGCCCTGATTCTGTCCACCTTGATCGGCAGGCGCAGAATGGCGGACAGCGCGCTGGCATTGCGCAGGATCTGGCCCCCTGCAGGCACCGCAGCAGCCGCCCTTTGGGTGGTTGACAAACAAAATAGTGCACATGCAAAGCTCTGAACCGCCCAGGAGATGACTCCCACACTGTGCATAAGCATACCAGCAGTGTCTCACCGCCTTCCAGTATGCTGCCGTCAATCTGCTGGCAGCCAGGCGGCAGTTCGAGGGCCACATCCGACGTGGCGGCAGGGGCGGCGGCGGGCGCTGCCGGGCGGTGCCGCTTGCCGCCGCCACCACCCTTGCTATGCACTGCTGGACTTTGCCTGGTGGGCTGGGCATGCTCCTCCGACATGCTTGGACGCCCTGCCAGCCCACCGCAGCGGCAGGGGAGCGCAGTGATTGTGCTGCTTGCCGGTTGATTCTTCAACTGCTACTGGGTGATTAATACTGATCATCATTGATTGGAGGCGGCTGCATAGAGTCGTCCCCTCGGGGGAAACCAACTTGGTGCGAGGCATGCTGCGCCACGGAGGCAACCCACCCTGCAGTGAGCCGGCAATACATCGGTGAATTATTTCGGATCCCAGCTGCCCCCCATCTTTCTGCCAGAGCTGGGCAGACATGTCGCAAATGGCCTGGGGGCAGCGATTAGCTGTTCTGGCTGGCCATCTGGCGGGCAGCAGCGATCAGGATGCCCCGGCGCTCCAGTGTCAGCACGTCTCGTCCTCGCTGGTGCGCACTCAACTTGCGCCTCGCTCCACAGGCTCGCTCTATGCCCTGCTAGCACACTGACCGCATCCACTCTCCTTGCTGGGATGCGCAGGCTGGCAGCAGCGGCATCTTGGTGAGCGCGGAGGTGGCGGCGGCGCTGGCGGCGGGGCGCCCCGTGGTGGCGCTCGAGAGCACCATCATCAGCCACGGCATGCCCTTCCCCCAGAACCTGGACACGGCCCGCCAGGTGGAGGCCGTGGTGCGCGCGCACGGTGCCGTGCCCGCTACCATCGCCGTGCTGCGGGGTGTGCCCCATGTGGGCCTCACCGCGGCGCAGCTGGAGCGGCTGGCGCGGGCGGGCTCGGCGGTGCGCAAGGTGTCGCGCCGTGACCTGCCGCTGGTGATGGCGCTGCACTTGGACGGCGCCACCACCGTGTCAGCCACCATGCTGCTGGCGGCGCGGGCGGGCATCGCGGTGTTCGTGACGGGAGGTGGGTTTGCGGCATGGTGGGGGTGGTGGCAGCGCCGCCTCTGCCTTGTCAGCACCTCCAGCCTGCCAGCCTCCTGGAAGCCGTCGCCGCCGGCTGCCCATCGCCATGCCGCCATGCTTTCCAGCGGCCCCGACCGCCCCGCCCGCCACCTCGCTACCGCGCCGCTGCAGGCATCGGCGGCGTGCACCGCGGCGGCGAGCGCAGCCTGGACATCTCTGCCGATCTCACCGAGCTGGGGCGCACGCCGGTGGCGGTGGTGTGCGCCGGGGCCAAGTCTGTGCTGGACATCCCTCGCACCCTGGAATTCCTAGAGACGCAGGTGGGCCGCGGGGGGGTGCTGCGGTGGGGCCCAAGAAGAGTGCTGCTGTGGCTGAGAGGGGCTGCGGGGTTCTGTGCCAAACATCCGTTGGAGCCGCAAGGCGTGCCTTTTCATTTTTCCTGCTTGCGCGTTGTGTGTCTGTGTGCTCTGTCAGGCCTTCCAGCGTGGCACAGGGCGTGGTGCTTGGCTGGCGCAGCCGAGCCGGCCATTCTGCTGCTCGGCGCGCCATGCAGGGCGTGTGCGTGGCGGCCTACGGCGCCGACGAATTCCCCGCATTCTTCACTCGGCGCAGCGGCTGCAAAGCGCCCTGCCGAGTGGACACGCCCCAGCAGGCGGCGGCCATGATTGCGGCCGCAAAGCGGCTGGCTCTGGGCGGCGGCATGGTGCTGGGCGTGCCCATCCCGGAGCGCCACATGGCAACGGGGGCGACGGTGGAGCGTGCCACAGAGCAGGCGCTGCAGGAGGCGGAGGAGCAGGGCATTCAGGGCAATGAGGTGACCCCCTTTTTGCTGCACCGCATCAAGGAGCGGACTGGCGGCACGTCTCTGGAGGCAAACATAGCGCTGGTCAAGAACAATGCGGCGGTGGGGGCACAGATTGCGGCGGCGCTGGTGGGCATGGTGTGACGGTGCTCCTGTGAATGGTCCGCTGGCTGCACACCCTGCTCTTCAACCACGGCTTGTTCAAGAAGCCCGCACAGTGTATGATAGCTCGACGCCCGGGCGCCCCAATGTATGATCCACTTCCCCTGCCTTAATCAATGCCATTTCATTTTTCTGCAATCTCCAACTAACGAACAAACATCTCGCATGCCAGGACCACTAACACTTCCAGGCATCGCCCCTTCACTTGCCAGCGGCCTGCAGTGCCCGCTCCTTCTCGCTGCTGGTGCGAGTGGCAGCGGGCGCTGCCGCCACCGCCTGCAGCTCGACGCCGAGTGCATCTTCTGGGGCGCCGAGAGCCTCCTGTGGGGCGCCCACTGCCTCCAGGACAATGCCTCCAGAGCCAGCATAAGGGACCCCTCCTGCTGCCGCAGCTTCGCCTTCTACCTCTGTGCCCAGCTGCCAGCTCTTGCTGCTATCGGTCAGCCAGCCCGTCAGGGGGAGCTTGGCGGGCACCGCCCTGCCAGCCATGCCAGTCGCATCTGCCCCGGTCTTCAGCATGATGCGAGACAGCGCTGCCGCCTGCACGGCAGGCCCCTGCTTCTCGGTGCCCGCCTCAGCCGCCTCCATCTGTGTTTGTGCCTCCGCTGTCATGATGAGCGGCAGCGCCTCGCCCTCGCAGGTGCTGTCGCTGTAGGCGGCGGCCAGGGCCCTGGCCGAGTGCTTGCCGCCCGCAGCAGCTCCCAGGTAATGCTCCTGCTTGTATTCCAGCGGCGTGGGCTTGGCAGCTGCGCCGCTTGTGTCCTGCCCAGCCCCAGGCTGGCCTGCCCTCAGGCCCCAAAGGATGGCTCCCAGGCTGGCAGCCGTGATTATTGCGGCGCCGGCCAGGGAGAGGCTGCTGGGAAGCTTGTGGAAGACCAGGCCGTCGGCCATCAGCGTCCATATCAGCGAGAGGTAGTCCAGGGAGGCCGCCTTGGCCGCATTGCACTTGCGGCACGCCGCCGTGAACATGGCCTGCGGGCAGGCAAGCAGCATCGCAGTGGGCTGCTTTCAGTAGCAGGCTTCGTCGTGTGCTGGCCAGGCCTGCGAAGCACTCCTGACCCCTCATCACGCCCCCATCAGCCTGCCTGGACCACAAAGGCGAGCAGGGAGGTGGCGGCCAGGTAGCCCCAGGCGGCGGCGTGCCGGGGCGCCTCCAGCTGCACGCCCGGCAGCACCAGGCAGCCGAGCGCGGCGCCCAACAAGCTGCAGGCCCCCATGGAAAACATGATGCTCTCGAGCGGCTCATTGTGGCGGTTCAGCGCTCGGATGACCAGCCTGGAGGCAGCAGAGAACACGGCCTGCAGCATGATGGGCAGACAGGACACTAGATCGATTTGCTGCTACCAGGAAGAGGCAGAATTTGAGAGCGGCTGTCATGCATCAGCTGCCGCAGCTAGCAGCCTGCAGTCCTCGCCTGCAAGATGCCTGCCACCACGCCGAGGGTGCTGGTCGGCCCAGCCATGCTGCCAAAGAGCCACGAGGGCTGCGCCACCAGCAGCATGCCTGCCAGGCACAGCGGCAGCGACACGTAGACGGCTGCAGGCCGGGGAGAGGGGAAGTGCCGCAGTGAGGTGTGTAGAGTCAGCACCCTGCTGACCAAACAGCGAGAAGGCCTTAACCCATACCTCGGGGCGTGGGCTCGCCCAGCACGAGCGGCGCGAGGACAGCCACCAGCACAGGGGACACAAAGCTCAGTGCATTAGCGTCCGACAGCGGCAGAAGGGCTAGACTTAGGTACCAGAGCGAAAGGCTGCTGAAGCCAAACAGTCCGCGGAGGAGGAGCAATGGGAACCTGCAGGCCGGGTTGGCAGGTGGCGGCAGATGGCGACAGCCGGGGGGCAGCGTGCATGGCTGTTGATGCAGCTGGTGCTGCCGAATTCCCGTCTATCAGCCTCACGTCGCAGTGATTGAGAAGGGATTGACGCGGTGATGCCACAGCACGGGGATGAGCAGCAGGCAGAGGACCGCAGACCGGGCTGCCACCAGCAACAAGAAGTGGGCGCCGGCGGCGGAGGCGAGCTTGCCGAAGGCACTCATCACGCCCGCCCCCAGGAATGTGTTCAGGAAGTAGAGCAGCAGCGCTCTGCTCTCTTGAACTGCCGAAGGGACACCAAACGAGTGGTGGGTGAAGGGCAGGTGGCCATGGAGGAGCGAGCGGAAGAGCGCCGGCATTGTCGGGGGGGAAGCTCTGTTGGCCACAGGCGGCTACGCCTTGATACTGCTGCCACACATTCGCACTTGTTGGACCACCTGCGGATGCAGTAGAGCGGTGAAAGCACGGCGGAGTCAACAGTGGTCACGCAGCACGCAGCAGGGCCCTCCTCGGGCCGCCAAACGCGCATTCTGATGTTGCGGATATCCTGCGTGAAAGCTCTCAAACCCTGCAGTGCGCCCCTCTGGCCAGTGCCCGCTGTGCGCCATCACCTCGGCCGCCCCTCCCCGCTCCCAAGGTCAGCTGGAAGCCCAAAGTCAGCTGGAAGCATGAGCGATGAGCCCGGCTCACTAGCGCAGGGCATGAGCGCGGCCAAGGATGGCAGCTGGTTCACGGAAATTTCGTCCCTGTGGCCCGGAACCGGCCTTGCGCTCAAGGTGGATGAGGTCCTGTTCAAGGGCAGGTCCGATTTCCAGGTATGGGGAAAGGCGATGGTCGCCGCCCATGCATGCATGCCGCCGCCGGCCCCCGCTGCTGCGGACAGCGCATCCCCTGCCCGCCGGCTGCCTGCAGGACGTGGCGGTCGTGAAGACGCAGGCGTTTGGCACCGTGCTGATCCTGGATGGCGCCATCCAGTGCACCGACCGCGACGAGTTCTCCTACCAAGAGATGATTGCGCACCTGCCCGCCTGCGCGCTGCCGGCGCCGCCCAAAAAGGCGCTGGTGGTGGGCGGCGGCGACGGTGGCGTGCTGCGCGAGCTGAGCCGCCACGCCTCGCTGGAGGAGATCCACATTGCGGAGATCGACGGGTGGGTGCTGGGGCAGAGTGGCTGTACATGATGCCGCTTGGTTGGCGCCGTGGATGTTGGTGGTAGTGCAAGATGGTCTCGCCGCCAAGGTGCCGGCTGAAGTAGGCAGCAGACCACCTGTCCCTGCCCCTGTGTTGGTACCGCCTCGCAGCATGGTCATCGATGTGTCCAAGAAGCACTTCCCGCAGATGGCGGCAGGCTACACCGACCCGCGTGTCAAGGTGCTTGTGTGGGGGTGTGCCCTGCTGCTGGTGCGGAACAGCTGCGGTTCAAGCTCAAGCTGTTTGTTGGTGTGGGCGGGAGGCAGGCCGGCAAGCCGCCGATGCACAGCAGCGTCTCATTGCTGCCGTGCCATCCTTGCCTGCCCGCCTCGCGTCGTGCAGGTGCACGTGTGCGACGGCATCAAGTTTGTGCAGGATGCGGCAGAGGGGACGTACGATCTCATCGTGGTCGACTCCTCAGACCCTGTGGGCCCCGCAGAGGTGCTGTTCCAAAAGGTGCGCATCCTGCGCTGGTAGTGGGCGGCAGGCAGGCGGGCACTGCTTGCAAACGGGGGTCGGGCTGCCGTGCACCCCTGACTGGTCGCTGTCCTGCCCCACGTCCCTGCGCCTCGCATGCCGGCGATCCTGACCGCGACTGGCCTGCCCCACGTTGCCCCTGCAGCCCTTCTTTGATGCCATGCACCGCGCGCTGAAGCCCGGCGGCATCGTGTGCACGCAGGCGGAGAGCCTGTGGTGAGTGCGCTGCCGTCGCATTCCAGCATCCTTTTTTGAAGGCTATTGCTTCTCGCCACCCAATTCACCCCTGCCTGTCTGGCCGGACAGCCATCCAGGAGCCTCTTGATGCGGCCCTCCCCTCACCACTTTGCTCCGCTGCTGTGTTTTGCCCCCTGCCTGCTGCCCTGCAGGTACCATCTGGAGATCATCAAGAGCCTGGCCGCCATGTGCGCCGAGGTGTTCCAGGGCGGCGCTGTCCAGTACGCCTTCACCACCATCCCCACCTACCCCAGGTGCGAGGCGCGGGAAGGCAGCGCTCGAAATTGGATCATCTGCCTGCGCCCTCGTTGCAGCCATGCACCTCGTCCTTCACACTCCGCTGCTAACGCATCCATGCTGGCCGCGCTGTGGTCGGCCAACATCTGCACCCTGCATCCAACCCCTCCCTCCTGCCCTGCCCCGGCCCGTCTTTGCAGCGGCCAGATCGGCTTCATGATCTGCACCAAGGCGGGCGGCAGCGCGCCGCTGGACGCTCGCGAGCCCCGCCAGCCATTGCCGGTAACGCCCGAGGGCCGCGACTACCCGCCGCTGCGGTGAGCATGCTGTGATGGGCTGCGGAGGCTGCTCATCGAAGGCGGGTCCCCCACCCACTCGGTGGCTAATGGAGGACAGGCAGGGCCTGTCGGTGTGGGGCTGACCTTTGATCTGCCCTGCCAGTCGAACCTTCACTCGCCCGGACTTGTGCTTTGACTTCCAATAATCGTACTGCCTGGTTCTGCTCGTCCCGCAGGTACTACAACCACGACGTGCACCGCGCCGCCTTTGTGCTGCCCACCTTTGCCAAGGAGGCCCTGGGCCCCTCTCTCACCTATTGAGGCCTGTTCTGCCTCGGCAGGGCTGGTCCTGGAGGCAGACCAGCTCTATACCGGGAACACCTACCTTCCCCTGCTGCCTACCAGACTCGCATGCCATGTCATTCCATGCCCACCCATTTGACCCCTGTTTCTCTCTCTCCCTCGCTGCTATCCTTGCGTTCGCCCTCTCCAGGCGGTTTTTGCATGTTCTGTATTGCTGCCCCAAGGGATGCTCAGATTGCCATCCACTGAAACTGAATGTAAGCCAGACCTTGCAGTGTACAAGCAGTGCACGAGCAGCAGGCTGGAGCATCTGCTGGGGGCAGTTAAGACAATTCACCGGTGTGCACAAACAGTCCTCCAAAGATGTCATGTCACCGGGATGCAGGTATCGTCGCCTGCTCGTGACCCCGCCTTTGACGATTCCGAGCCACCCTGCTGCTGCTGCTGCTGCGCTTCGCCCTGCTTGCCAGCAAGGTTCCCATTGAGACCCTTGGCCGCCAGCGCCGCCAGCTCCAGCGCCTCTAGCTTCGACCTGCAACCGTGCGGCAGCAGCCCAGGCAACTCCTTGGGCAAGTCGGAAAACTGATGTATGCAGCAGGGGGGCGTCCAAGCACTATTGGGAGCCACCACGCCTACACCGGGGGCAGTGGCGAGCGCGCTGGTACGCAACACTGCCGCCCGCGCCCACCACCCACCCACGGCGCTCTGCCGCTGCCTCCTCGCCTGCGCATGTCGCCCACCGACCGCCGCGCCATATCTTCGAGCGGCAACAGGTTGAACGGGTCCTCCAGCTGGCTGGCCGCCTGGGGTGCAGGGAGGGGAGGGGGGCCACCATCAGCGTCAGTTGCAACGCGGCGTGCAGCAGGGAGCCAATCGATCGTGCAGGAAAGGCATTTGTATAGCATGAGTGCGTTGGCCCATACCAGCTGCCGCTGGGCCCCACACCAGCCGCCCCACGCCTACCCCCTCCCGCGTGCTGGACCGACCGCTGCTGGTGCTTGCCTCGTCACAGCCCAGCAGCAGCGCCGCCATGAGCGCCATCGCCGGGACTGTCAGCCACATCACCGTGCGCGCTGTGGCTTCCCACAAGCCAAATGGAAGAAAAAGGAGCCAGGTAAACACAAAGCCGGTGCTCAGCAGGGACAGCACCTGCGATGGCACATGGGCAATCCGAAGATGGCAGCAGGGATGCTGGACCGCCGCCTGCACCGCCTGCGTTGCTGCGTTGCCTCTGCGTTGCTGGCTTGCCGGCGTGGCTCAGAAGCCAGGCAATACAACTTTACATAGGGGGCAGGTGGCGGGAGGCGTACCTGCGGCGTGGCTTGCTCCAGCACGCCCATGCAGCTGCAGCAGGCATCCATGCCTCGAGCAATCGAGTCGTTCATGGCAAGGAGCTGCACACACACACAAAGGGCAAGCGCCAGTGAGCGCCCAGGGCAGGAGGCATCTGTGGCGAGTCCCAGCCAGCACTCGACACACAGCGCCTTAGCTGCACCCCGCCTGTGCCGTCCGGCGCCCACCTTTTCCGCCGGCAGCACGGCGCCGCCGACCAGCACCCGCAGCCGCGCCATCACAGCATACACTGCCTTGGGCGACCCCTCCACCACCTGCAGCTCCTCCTCGCTCAGCACCTCGGCCGCGGCGGGGTGCAGGCGCGGCAGCGACAACACAAAGCCCAGCGTGCCGTAGATCAGCACAATGCCCCACCGCTCCAGCTCCGCCTGCACATGAGGGCGCAGGCAGGCAGCCAGGTGACGGGCACCGCCCAAGGCCTGCCCGCCCGCCCGCCAGCCAGTGTTTGCCAGCGGGGCTGCCCTGCCCCGCCTTGCCCCGCCTTGGCCTTCCCCGCCACAAAAGCGCCGCCCTGGCCCGCCGCCGGCTCGCCTGGAGGTTGGGGTCATTCAGGAAGGCGGCGGCCTGCTGCGTGAGCGCCAGCATGGCACGCCCCGTGCCGCTGAACCCGGCCTGGGCGCGCAGCCAGCGGTCGTAGGCGCGGTTGAGGCGCAGCGTGAGCAGCAGCGCCACCACAAAGCTGGTGAGCTGGAAGGATCGAATGAGGGTGTCGGTGTTGGCCGGGCTGTGCTGGATCTCCAGGTATTCCAAGACGGCGACAAGGATCTGCGGACCGAGGGGTCAGCAACGGGCAGGCACGCGGGCAGGCGTGTGGGGAGGTGGTGGGCCAGGGGCACATCCCAACTCCTGGTGAAGTTCTGTGGCAGGAAGCGTGAAAAAATAGAAGCCTTCCCACGCACTGTTGTGCACATGACGGCGAAAAAGGGGACTCTTATATTCCACAGGATGTGACCCGGCGGCCCGATGCAGCAGAGCAGGCTGTCCGCAAAGCGCCACTGGGAGTGCAGGCGGCGCCAGTGGTCTCTGTTGGCCTTGACCGTCACAACATCCGGCCTGGTGGCGGCGCGAGGGCGGGGGCGGGGGGCGGAGGAGAGCAAGGTAAGCACACTCGGGCTGCTTGGCGCCCCTCTGGCCTGGTGGCGGCATGAGGGCGGGCGGGGGAGCGGAGGAGCAGGGCAAGCACACTCGGGCTGCTTGGCGCCCTTCTGGCTGCGTAACCCCAGCATTTCATTGGTCTGCAGGGACCGTGAGCGAGCCAGGGCTGTGCAAGGGGCTTCCCGAGGCCGACTTTCCGGAGACCCCAGCGTGCTATCTGCCTCCTCACCGAGACTCATAGACCACACGGCTGTAGAGCCTGATGGGAAGCCCCCAGACGCTGTTGAACAGCCAGCCCTGAGGGTTCCATGGCGTTTGCTGGTGGCCCAGCCTACGCATACTTTAGCCGTCTTCTACACTGCTATTGATATGGAAGGGAACCCCGACGTGCTGCAGGGTCCATCGAGGGATTTAATTCTTGTACCTGCGTCTTGCATGCCCGTTGATGACGTCAATTCGTCTTGCGTGCATGCAAGATGCAAGACAAGGCGTCCCAACAACAAGCCATCTTGGGTTGTAGGCTGCGATTGCTGCCGATTTCATGCCGCTGGATAGAGTGTAAAGAGCCAGCAAAGATTGCAGTTTGAGCGGGAGGGCGAGTGGAGGGATGGGGCATTGCCCCCCTGCCAAGTGCGGCCTGGCGACTTGGAGCGGCCACCAGACACTCTGTAATGACTAACAGATGCACTTTTAGGGCCCGATCAAGCCATCGCACTGCTCTGGTTGCTGCTCAAGCAGCGACAGCTGCACCAGGGCCCGCCCCGCGGGCCCCACCCGGCACCAACGGTCTTTTGGTATGAACTGTGAATGATCGGAAAGCAGAGGAGCCGATTTGCGACTAGTTGAAATTCTCGCGCCCTGGCCAGCGTGGATGAATGCAAGACAGGTAGGGGTGGCGGAACCTAGACGGGGGCATGCAAGACGGGGCATGCAAGACGGCTTAGTTGTTGGTCCACGCCGGACTCCTTGCATGCCACGTGAGCTTTTCCATGCAAGATTTCTTAATTAAATCCCTCACATGAAGCCCGTCATGACAGGCCGTCGCCGCCCTGTCAGCGGCGCATTGCATTGGCAATCATGCAAGCAACTATCCTCCCACCACGCTCTTGTGAATACTGCATTGTCTTCTCGCAACGCCGCGCCTGCCCTGCGTAGCGCAATCATGCAATTTTCTGCACCTTGTCAGTGCCCCATCGCGGTTCTGACGCGACTTCAGGCGCCCAGGACGGCTGCAGGACCCCGTCAGGTTGCCCAGGGTGCGAGGCCAGCGAAGCCGAGGCTGCACCCGCCGGCCCAGGAGCAGGAAGGCGGGCGGGGAGGCGGCCACTCTTCAGGCGCGTGATCCATTCCTCTGCAGCGTGCTGCTGTGCAGGTCATCGCAGGTCATGTCTCTCCCACCCAGCCCAGCCGTCGTGGCACCTTTCAGTTACTATGCCCTGCCAAACGAGCTGCTGGCCCGCATCCTGACTCTGGCGGGGAAGCGCGAGGGGTGAGCGTGCCCATACCCCTGCATACCCCGCAGGGAGTTGCTATCAAGAGCTGCGTTGATACCAGCCCAGTCGATCCCTTGCCGTGACCCCGGCACTGCAGGCGCAGCATTGTGTGCGTGTGCAAGCGGTGGGAGCGCCTCTTCTTTAAGCAGCCCCTCCTGTGGCGCACCTTTGCGCTGGCGCCCGCCAGCCCCACCTTCCCGCGTGGCGGCGCCAGCCGTGAGCAGCGGGACGAGATGTGGGCCGGCTGGTTTGAGGCGCAGCACCGCATGCTGGCACGCGCGCCACCCTATGTGGAGGTGTTTGTGGCAGGCAGCCCGCCTCCGCGCCGTGGCGGAGATGTTCGCCTGGCCCGCTACCACTGTCGCAGGCGGCGCTGGCTTCTGGGAGATTTCCTGGCGCTGCTGCGCCCAGATGTGCTGCGCGAGGCTATGCTGTGGTGGGAAGTGAACAAAGCTGATGTGAAGGCACTGCGGCGCTTCCAGCGGCTGGAATCAGTACTGCTGCACGAGACGGACCTGAAGCAGCAGGCAGTCGCCCACATGCCAGCTCTGCGCAGCCTGGAGCTGCACGCGAATGACATCAGCCAGCAGGAGAGGGAAGCCATCCTGGAGCTGACTCAGCTGACCCACCTGGCGCTGGTGCCCTTCTGTGTCCTCACAGCAACCTTCTCTGAGCCCGAGGATGCGCAGCTGCTGCAGCTCACACGCCTGCAGCAGCTGCGGGAGCTCCGTATCACACACCGCCCCACCCTGTATCAGTTCGAGGCGGAGGAGTTCTATCACGAACGCGAGGGCGTGCTGGAAATTCCACCACCCAGCGCCTTTCCATTCTTGGAGAAGTATCAGCTGTCCTTGCTGCCCCATGATTGGTATCGCTGGCACTTCAGCGTGAGTGCGGTCGCATGAAGGTGCCATGCTGGCAGGGATACCAAACAACGTGCATGTGCCGGTGTTGCAGGTCGGTGGGGCCAGTTTCATGAGCTGCCAGTATGATGATGACTTAGCCGGGTATGGGCAACTGAAGATTGACTATGTCAGCAGGCTGGATTCCCTGCAGCAGCTGATTTCGGCGCTTCTGCCAGAGGGTATGCCTCTGTCAGCCCTCTACATCAGGCATGTCGCAGACAGCGTGCTGCAGGCTGCAGACGTCCAGGGCTGTACCACCCTGGCAGGCATCGACTCGCTAGTACTTGCCCAAGCCACATGCGGCAATGCACAACTGGCAGCGCTGCTTCAGCAGGCCCCGCAGCTCGCACAGCTTTTCATCAACTACTGCTTCAACGGCCAAGCTGCCTGCCAGCCTGGTGGCCAAGCGAGCTATGGGACGGCTGGTGCTAAATGGCAACAAGCTGCAAGACATCCCGCCCGGCCCTTATCTCGAAGGTGAGGCGGGCATGCGTGCCCCCTGGCATTGGCGTCAGTACAGGCTCCGACCTGAGCGCAACGTGAGCACTGTGCAGATGTTGAGTTGCTCGATCTTGGGAACATAAATGCGATCGCCACTCTGCCGGCTGCGCTATTGGCAGCCACTGCACTCAGGCGCCTGGAGCTGGATGAGAACGCAGAGCTGGCGCTGACCGAGGCAGATGTCGACATGCTGTGCGGCATGCCAGACCTTCGTGTGCTCGTCATGAGCACCGCCAACACTCCTGCCTCGGTGCTGCAGTCCTTGCACGCCAGAATGCCTCTCCTGGGGCACTGGGAGAGCTGGAAGGATCTGGAGCGGGCAACAGAGCCTGAGACAGCGGCGGAGGTGTAGGCAGAGGCTTCCAGCAAGCCACATTCAGATGACGAACAGTCGGAGCATGCACGGTGGTCCTGACACCTGTTTTTTGCATGAATTTGAGTGCGCTTGACATGACCTGCAACCTGTACAGACTCTGTAATGGTCAGACCATTGAATGATGCCGCGTGTTGATTTACGTTCTGCCATCATGGAGAGGAGGCCACCGCGGCGGAACTCCACCGCTAGCAACAGGAGTTGGGGTTTGTGGTGGGGCTGGCTGATGTGCAAACGACGGTGATGCAGGTGCTGGCCGATAGAATGATTCTGGCTCGCCAACCCGTGCCGCTGGACTGGGGGGGAGACAACGGAAGCATCTGCGGTGTCGCTCTTCTGGCGGGTCACCCAACACGGTGTCGGTTGGGCTGGTGTTTCAGTTTAGGCTGGCCATTGGGTTCCTCTAGGAATTGTGGCAGGCACTTCCTCGTCGTTGTTGCTTGGTCAAACGGTCAACGGAAAGGGCCAGGAATTTAGCTTAGCTGGCGGCAGCGGTGCTTTGCGTTCACAGGTTTCGGGGCGCCCCGCTGCTGAGTGAATTGAGTTGTCCACTCGATCCATAGTACCCTCTGGCTGCTACAATGTAGGAAATGCTGGCCAGGGCAGCAAAACATGCATGCCATGGCAGGGGCAGATGGGCATCGGCCGCCAGCGGCGCCAGCGCGCTTGTGCAACTTTGGGGAGATCCACAGAAGGCCTTCTCAATGGCTGGGCTCGATGGAGCGCTGGTTGGCGCCGGCAACCCTCTGCTAGACCTCAGCGCTGTTGTCGATCAACCGCTGCTTGACAAGTATGGGGTGAGTGGGGATCCTTTGGACCGATTTGCAATGGGCGATGAGCGCACAGTGACCTGCAGGAGTGCGTGCTTGCCGCATGCTCGCCTGCCGCTAATGCCAAGTCGCTTCCGCCCCGTTTGCCTTGTCCGCAGCTGGTCTTGGGCAACCAGGTGAGGATGGAACTGCCAGCCGCCCCCTTGCGCCTGCAGCCGCTTCCCGCCGCTAGCCCGCTGCCGCCGCCGCCTTGCACTGTGTGCAAGGCTTCAGTCGAAGCCCGTTCCACCTTGCGCAGATCCTGGCTGAGGACAAGCACCTGCCCCTGTACACGGTGAGCAGCTGTGAAAATCGGCGCAGCTGGAGCTGCAGGGCTGATGCTGCCTTTCACAGTCTTGATTGCCATGTGTTGCGGAGCTACCTCTTGTGGGCCTACCTTTCGTGACGTGTTCGATGAACATTTGCACTACAGGAGCTGGAGGAGAAGTTCCAGGTGGAGTACATCGCCGGCGGCGCCACGCAGAACTCCATCCGTGTCGCGCAGTGGATGCTGCAGGTGTGTGGACGGGGGGGGGGGGGCGGGGCAAGAGCGACGGGGGTGCTGCGTGCTGTTGCTTCATTGGGGCGGGTGCCGGCTGCGAGCGACACGGCCTACCTGTGCCATGCCTGTGGCATCTTGCCCACGCACCGCAACCTTCTTCACATCTCGCTGCACCCACCTGCATGGGCGCCTGGATGTCCCAAATGCTATGTGCCCACGTTGACCCTGGTGCTATCGCGCCTGGCCTGCTTGTTTGGCCCTGGTGCTGCAGGTGCCGGGCGCCACCACCTACTTTGGCTGCGTGGGCAAGGACCACTACGCTGAGGAGCTGACCAAGGTGGCAGCCAAGGATGGCGTGAACGTGAGCGGAGCCGAGCAGCTGGGTGGGAGGCATGCTGCGGCAGCACGGCAGATGTCGAGCCTGACAGCTGGGGGCCACTGATTCGCACCAGCCTTTCCAGCTACCTTCCACCATGTTTCCCCCCTTCAAACTGCTGCATTGAACGGCACTCTATTGGCTGCTGCAGGCGCGATACATGGTGGATGGGAGCACCCCCACCGGGACCTGCGCCGCCTGCATCCTGGGAGGCGAGCGCTCGCTGGTGGCCAACCTGGCGGCTGCCAACAACTATAAGGTGAGCAGCAGCCGGGATGGAGGTCTGGAACTGGGGTCTTGGGCTTGGGATGTCGGTTGTCAGGGTCTGGGCGTGGCCGGACTGTTGCCTTTTTGTGTTGTTGGGTTTGTTGGGTTTGAGGAGGTGCAAACTGCCGTATGGTTGCGCGGTTGGCCCCTGGCCCCTTACCTTGTTGCTTGCCTGCCTCTGGCCTGCTGCCACGCCTTTGCTTCCTCCTGCTGCGGTGCAGGCCGACCACCTGCGGCAGCCAGAGAACTGGGCATGCGTGGAGAAGGCCCGCGTTATCTACTCTGCTGGCTTCTTCATCACTGGTGCGCTTGGCTATGGCATTGCCCTTGGCACCCAGGTTGACCAGTGTTGCCGTCCAAACAGTGGAAGCTTGACGGGTAGGCATCCCTGCCACCGGTGTTGATTGTTCAGGCTACCATTCCCTCGTGCGCTGCAGTGAGCCCCGAGTCGATGCTGGCCATGGCCAAGCATTGCTGCGAGAACGACAAGACGGTGAGGCTGAGGTGGCGATGAGGCATGGGGTGCATGCTGTGCACCGATCAGAGCCACGTGTCACGCTCACCAACTCGCCGGCTGCCCCTCTTCTTCTACCCGTCTCTTTGTCCGATCCATCCACTGGCTGTCGTCCCCATGCTTTCCTACCGTCCCTCGTACCGCCGCCGCCCGTGCAGTACTGCCTCAACCTGTCGGCGCCCTTCATCTGCGAGGTGCCGCCCTTCAAGCAGACCCTCACCGACCTGATGCCGTATGTGGACTACCTCTTTGGCAACGGTGAGAGGGCGGGGGAGGCTTGCGGAGGGGGTTGATACAGTCGTGGGGGTAGTTGGTGGGAAGTCATGCGGATGCGTGGCGGATGCGCATTGCCAGGAGCAGCAGGCAGCAAAGATGGGCGCTTGTTGGCCCCCCAGCCATTTCTGTTGCAGCCCTTCCTGGGATGCCATTCTTGCCTTCCGCAGCGTGCAACAGGTGGTTTCTGTTTTGCCTGGCACTGCAGAGAACGAGGCACGCGCATTTGCCAAGAGCGAGGGCTGGGAGACTGAGGATGTGGAGGAGATTGCGCTGCGGGTGCGATGGGCCGTCAGGGAGTTCCTGTGAACATCATGCAAGCCAGATGGCCCTGTGTCTCGCTGCTTGGTGGTTGCTGTCCCATCCTCGTCTGCTTTGCCAAATTTCCTCTCACTGCCTCGCTCCGCCCTGTGCAGATGGCCCGGTTTGGCAAGGCCAGCGGCGTGCGGCCCCGCACCGTGATCATCACACAGGGTGCCGACCCGACGGTGGTGGCGCAGTACGGCAAGCTCCTGAAGTTCCCGGTGGGTCCTTGTTGGCTGCGGGAGGTTGGTGGATACTTTGATTCGTGCTGGCAGTGTGAATGGATGCTCTTCCTTGCTGCTGGCTCCATTGGTTTCTGCCGGCACTGATTGGGAGCCCCCTGGTCCTGCTTGTTACCGCTCATTCTCGCAGGTTACCCGCGTGCCTGCCGAAAAGCTGGTGGACACAAATGGCGCAGGCGACGCCTTTGTGGGCGGCTTCCTCTCGCAGCTGGTGCGTCTGCACGTTGTGCTGCTTTGTACCGAGTGGCAGTCGTTGCTACCTGGCAGCCTGGATGATGCTTCTTGCGGCAATGTCCAATGTGTTGAGCTGCTGGGTGTGCACGCTGTCGGCGGGGCATTTGATGGTTGCCATCGCACTGGCTGGCGCAGGTGTGCGGCAAGGATGTGGCCGAGTGCGTGCGCGCCGGCAGCTACGCGGCGGGCGTGATTGTGCAGCGCGGCGGCTGCACCTTCCCCGACAAGCCCTACGGTTTCCAATGGGCTTAGGCAGCCGCTAGGCATGCAGCTGAGGAGCTTGCAAGCCCCTGGTGACGCTGCCAGATGACCCCGGTTCTTTTCCAACCATGAAGAAGCTAAGCATTCAACCCACACCTTTCTTTTCAGCTGTCAAATGCAACTCTGCTCCGGCCCGCACACTGATAGGCGTGAGTTAAGGCAGGCTACATGAGTCGTTTCAAAAGCCAGCAGGGAGAATGTTGGCCCCTACATAGAATGATCACATCATGTCCCCGCCATTCTCCAGCAGATAGTTTGCCGCCAGAGCTTCGTTCTTATCACAAATGAGAAATGCTTCGATGCACGCGTTGCGGTCGAAACCCAGCGCCGCCAACCTGCAGAGGGCACAGCAGAGGGAGGGAAGCGGGGATGAGCGAGGACCATGTCGGCACCCTGCATCACCCAAGCTCCCCCGCCAACTCAGCAGTGGCCAGCCCTGGGCCCCACCTGTCGATGGCATCCATCTCGTCCTGCGTCAGCTGAATCTCCACACCCATGGGCTCATCTGCAAACGTGTCCAAAACAGTGGCAGGTGCGGCAATGTGGGTTGGCAGCGGCGGCGGCAGCACTGAGTGTCAACAGCAGCACCAGCGAAGGGCCGGCATGCAGCCTGCCATAGACAGCCCCAGCCATCCGCTGCACGCAGTCGAACACCGCTGCCGCACAGCCTGCATTGCAGCCCAGCCAAGCGGCACCTCACCGCCGCCCTCGCCCATCTCCCCCTGCATCTGCTGCAGCAGGGCGCCGATGTCTGCCTCCTGCACAGGCTCGTTGATCATCGCCAGGAACTCCTGCAGGCCGCCAGAGGAGGCAGATGAACGCATACATGCATGGTCGCTGCTGAGTGACAACCCGCTACACACGCCGAACGCCTAGTGGGCAGGGGCGGCGGCCCCAAAAGGATTGGCGAGCCCTCAACGAATATTGGGCGCTGCAGACAACCAACTCGGCTCCAGGCACACACAAGAACAGCTGCAGACAGGACGCTGCCCGCACCTCCTGGTTGGCGTTGATGGCCTCCAGCATGGCCGGGTTCTCCTTGCCAAGCTCCTGCACAGGCACATGATGCAGACGGGGTGCGGTGGGTGGTGGACCTGTGGGGGGCTAGGGGAGTGGCGGCACAGGAAAGAGGGAACCAGGCGAGCCTCGTGTTGGCGGCAGCTGACAGGTGAGCCAGCGAGGAGGGCAGGCATGACAGGCGTGGAGGGTAGCTCACCGCCAGCATGGGCTGCAGCAGCTCGGGCCGCTGCTGCACCACGGCACGCAGGCCCTGAAACTGCGGGGAGGCTCGCAGCGCCGCCAGCGGGCCCACCGCCTGCTCGCCGCCGCCGCCGCCGCCGCCAGGCGCGTTGCCAAACATGTCAAACGGCTCTTCGGCCACCGCGGGCGCAGGCTGCTGCTGCGGCGCGGGTGCGCCGGCGGCGGGCGGGGCTGCCGCAGGGGCTGCGGGGCGCGGCACCGCCGGCTGATCCATGCCTGCAGGCAGGGCCCAAGCACGTGGCAAACTTTGAACTCCCAAACACCCTGACAACCGCTCAAGCGCGCCATCGCCGTGCGGCAGCAGCAGCATTAGCAGCGCAGGCAGGCAGACCACAGTCGCAGCCGCAAACGCAGCAGCACAGCACAGATCTCAGCACAGACAGCAGTCAGCATCAGCACCAGGGCTGCCCGGCGTCATGGCGCAGCTACGCTCTGAGCGTGCCAGCCTGCAGCGGCTGCACCTGCCGGGATGCCGGTCATCAGGTACTCCACCGCGCGCTCGGGGTTGTTGAAGGCGGCTCGCATCGCGCGCACCACCTGCTCGCGGTCGAAGCCCATCTCACAGATCTGCGGGAGCCGGGGCGAGGGCCAGGGCAAGGCACGGGCAGGCAGCGTTTTCCATGCGAGCTTGGTGGTGCTTTGGGCAAGCTTTGGGCAACAACTGGCTGCAAGCGGATCATCAAGTCTGCAACAACACACCTCTATGCTATGCTGGACTCTGAGATGTTTGGCTACTGGTTACACGCACCTGGCTGATCTTCTCTTCCAGCGCGGACCCCGTCACCAGCTCGGAGCCAGCAGCAGCCTGCGCATCCTCGGGCATCGCAGCTGGCGCGGCAGCCGGCGCGGCAGCCGCCGCGGCCTCGGCGGGTGCTGCGGCGGCGGCAGCGGGGGCCTCGGCGGGCGCGGCTGCGGCCGCAGGAGCAGGGGCGGCTGCGGCGGCCGCCTCTGGCTTGGGCTCCGCCGCCTTCTTCTGCTGCACACAGGAAGCGCGAGGCACACAGAAGCGCCGTGCTTTCTCATGAGGGCAACCCCCGGCACAGGCCTCGGCAAGCGGCTCGCAACTTGCTGCACGCTCCTACACTTCAGCAGTAGGCCAGAGGCCTTGTTGACCACCCGCAGCCGCACCTTGATCGCCATGACCACGCAGAAGCCGCTCTCCGTCACATTGCTATCCTTGAGGGTGTTGTCGTTCTTGAGGACCTGCGCGGCGGGGCGCGACAAGGACGCTGGGTGGCTGGCAGAAGCAGCGCCAGGTGGTGTGGTGGAGGTGCGCCCGGCACCTGCTTGCGCACCTTGCCCTGGTAGATAACGTTGAGGCTGGCTGCCGGGAAGTCGTCCCCCTGCGTCTCCTGGATCTTGGCCTTCACATCAACGACCTGCACAGCGTGCAAAATGGCGCAGGGCGGCCTCGGCAGCGGCGGTAGCTGACAACTGTCGAGGGCGAAGCGGGTGGTCAACAGCCAGAGCGGTGGCCTCTCCTGCGCCCTCTGACAGGCTTGGGGCTCGTTATCACTGCCTGCACACACTGATCTGCAGCACATCAGCGGGTCTCCAGGCCGGCAAGCGCACCTTCGTCTCCTCATCGAACTCCAGCTCGAACTGCTTGCCCTGCACCGTTTTGAACTTGACATTCAGCATGTTGTGGGTGCGTGAGCCAGCTTCTTGGGCGTTCCGGCGCCTCAAGGTCAGGTGCCGGTAGCAATCCACCCAGAAGCAATCTCTGAAGCGGGTGGTGAATGGCTAGGCGTGCATGCCGCGCGGGTTGATATGAGCAAGCTGGTGGCTGCTGTCGTCCTGCTCAGGTGTACATCGGGCCCGACCTAGCGTGCCTTTGGAGGAATTCGGCCACATACCAACGTACCCTGGAGCTGATTTCCACACCCACACACCCTATTCAGCTGGGTTTGCCCGCACCTTGGCCAATTGGGCGCGCCTGCGCCTGGCGGGTGCTGAACAGATTGCACGATGCTGCAGAGGGAGGGCCGGCGAGGGGCGTGGCGCCTGCTCAGCACCGCCGCCGCCAGCACCCCTGCACTGGGGGTGGGTGCCCTACCGCGCCTCTCCCAACAGCCCGTCCTGCGCCAGCTGAGCGGCAGCACATCACCGCCGCCCAACCAGCCCGGCGATGCGGGGGCGCTGCAGCAGCGGCGGCGCCAGCAGCAGCAGCAGCAGCAGCAGCGGCGGCAGAGCCACTACTCTGCCTCCACCAGCAGCGGCCGCGCCTTTAGCAGCAGCGCCACGCTGCACAGCAGCAGCGGCAGCAGCACGCCTGAGCGTGGCTTTGCCTCGCAGCCCGCCTTCGCCTACGACGTGCCACAGGCCACGGGCGAGGCGGCGGAAGCCGCATCTCAGCCCCTGGCGGAGCACGACTTGCTGGGCAGGGCACACGCGGCGGCCACCAAGCTCAAGGCGCAGGCCCTGTCCCGCCTGGAGGAGGTGGCACGCATCGAGCAGGAGGACACGCAGGGCGAGGCCCCGTTCCGCGAGCGCAGGCGCACCCGCGCACCGGTCGTCGACCCCGCGACCAGAGAGCGGCTGCGGCTGACGCGCGTCAAGGAGGTGGGCGCCCTGCCTGCCGCCTGCTGCCTGCCGCCTGCCGCCTGCTCAAAGCCGGCGGCCAGCACCGGCTTTGAAGCGCCTCGCTGCCGCCGTGTGTCCGTCGTGTGCCCCTGTTTGCGCTGACCCTGCTGCCGCCCCCCCCACACACACACACCTCCCGCTCCTGTCGGCCAGATTGAAGAGAAGGTGTCCACTACCGAGCTGCCCGCCTGGGAGCGCCTGTCCCATATGTTCACGATGCGCGAGGGCGAGCGGGACCATTCGTGCGCGGCGCTGGCCGTGTACCGCCAGGAAGTGCTGCACGGCCAGGACGTGAGCGACGGCTGTCAGCCAATGCCTCTGCTGCTCCTGCCACCGGCATCAGTGGTGCTGCCGACCTGCTGAGGCTGCCCAGCAGTGCACTGCATTGTACGACGCCCAGGGGCCACACCTGCCTTCCCTTCCTTCCTTGCCTATCCACCAGCTCACTCGCACGGCTGCCGCCCGTGCCTCCCTGCCTTCCCCGCTGCTCCTGCTGCAGCCCGAGGTGCTGCACACCGCCGGCGGCGGCGGCATTGTGCACGTCCCCTTCCTGCGCAGCGGCATGTTTGCGGCGCACCAGGGGTACAGCCTCGACTCGGAGCTCAGCCGCAAGTCGCTGCAGTCGCGGCTGCCGCTGCCGGTGCTGCCCGGGGGCGACGAGAACCCCCTCAGCGCGCGCACCACCTCAGCGCTCAAGGGGTTGCAGGAGCTCATGGAGTCGACTCGCACGCTGGGCCTCAGCGAGGAGGAGGCCAGCCTGCTGGAAACCCTGCTGCCAGGGGCCATGCCGGCCATGGAGCTGGCGGAGGGCGTCGGCGGCGACGCGAGCGAGGGCACAACGGCGGAGGCCGGCCCGCAGCCGGCAGCCGGCCCGCCGGCGCCGGCGCATGCGCTGGACGAGGACGTGCTGGCTGAGCTGGCAGACTGGGAGGCACGGCAGGCTGAGCTGGCGCATCACCAGCAGCTCAAGTCCCAGACCGGGACCTCGCACGAACGTCGCGCCGCCGCCCGCTTGCTGCTGCCGCCTGTCCCGGCTGCACCCAAGGCTGATTTGCTGGAGGCGCTGACGGCGGTGCAAGGCGTAGAGACTAGCCGCATCGTGAGGCTGCGCTGCGCTTTCCACTTGGCGCCGCTGTTCCGTTTTCCCCTGTGCCTGAAGTAGGCTTGGCTTGCCCTGCGTGCATGTTCATCAGCCGCTGCAGCCCTGTCGCTGCGGCTGGCACCACTCATGGTGCTGCTGTCGTGCTGGCTCCCACCCTGCAGATCTCTGGTGTGGATGCGCTCTACCGCCCACGCGTGATCAACGGAGCATGCACCCCACATGCCACACTACCGATGCAGCCACTGGTGCCTCCCCAGGACCCGCAGGCGGCCTTGGCTGAGATGAAGGAGGTTGCACAAGTGCTGGTGCAGGTGAGCAACGAGTTAGGCTGGGCGGTGGCTGCCGTTTCTTCGATGGCAGGCACCATCCACACACGGCTGCTCCCTCCGCTGGGTTCAGCGCTGTGCTGGGCCAACTCTGGCGCCTGCTGTGCGCCGCCCCTTGCTGCAGGACCTCGGCCCTCTGCACTTTGCACATCTGGTGAATCGAGCACCTTGGGTGCTGCTGCTGGACTCTAACAAGCAGGGGTGAGCTGTGTGCTTGCAGTGTGTAGGCTTGCTCTCAAAGGACGCACCCAAGGTTTGCCTGCCCGTGGCACTCTTGAGGTTTACACATCCACCCTTCTGACATCTTTCCGATCTGGTTTGCATGTGCGCAGACGGCCGCAGCTGGGCTGCCTGCACTTGCTCGACATGCCCCAGGAGCAGCGGGCCAAGCTTGTGCAGGCCTTCCCCCGCATCTTGACCGTCGATGTGGAGACAGGCCTGCTGGCTCTGCTGATGTACATGCAGGCACGGAACTGTGCTGCATCTGCCCAATGCACACTGCACTGCATTGCCCACCTGTTGGACTGCCCAGTTTGACCCGTGCAGGCAGCACTGCAACATTTGCCAACCCAGCATATGCTGCCCCGCTGTTGTTTGTGCAGGCCCTGGGGATGTCTAACCAGCAGATTTGCCGCTGCTTGTTGGGCAACCCCAGGCTGTGCCAGCCATTCAAGCTGCCTGCGCTGAGTGAGTGGAGCTTGCCAGCAGTGGGCCGGCATTCATTCCCTGGCAGGCATCAATGCCCTTCCCGGCCGGCAACTTATTGATGGTGTTGCTGTGCATTCCCGACACGCTGCAGAGTCGGTGGCTGCATTCTGGATGGGCAAGGGCATGACACGGGAGGACTTGGCCCACATGCTGGCCGTCTCTCCAAGGGTGTGCCACGCTGCATGCCTGCCAATGTATTGACCGCAGCATGTTGCCTGGTCTCAAGCCTGCAAAAGGAGGTAGTGCCCATGATGGTGCCTCTTTCATTCTGTCCGCTGGTTTGCTGACTTGCTGTGACTTCCTGCGTTTACATGACCCACAGCTGATTGAATACAACCTCACGACTTGGCAGCTGAAGTTTGACTGGCTGGCGGACCATGTAGGATGTACTGTGTCCGATGTTGCACGTGAGTAAGCGCAGGGCCGTTTTGGGCACCCCGGCCGCAGCTCTTGCCGGCTGCAGAAAACAAATGTGTGCTTGCATGCACCTGAATCTGCGGGTATTGTAGCATGCTCTCTCACCCAGCCTGGTGGCCGCACCAGTGCCTGCGTGTAGGCGTGCCACGGCTTTCACAGTATAGTCTCACCTCCACCACCGGCCCGCGCGTGGCCTTGGCGCTAAGCAAGGGCATTACGGTGTGTTTGCTTTCCGGCACAGTTGTTTTGCACCAAAACTGCCCCCTGCTTAATTGACTGCTCGTGTGCATTATGATGACCGCATGCTGCCCGCCACGCTCTCATGTTGCTCATTGATTGCTGGCAATGCTTGCAGCTTGTGCCCCCGTCCGAGAGACGCACAGCAAAAGGGCGGAATAAATCAGACAAAAAGGTCCACAGCACCATGTCACTCGCCAAGTTTCTGCAGTGCAGCGAGGCGGATGCCTGCGAGCGCATGGGCGTATCGCTCGAGGTGAGGAGGAGCTGACGGGCAGCCCAGGCGTGGCTCGGCGTGCAGTGGCATCCTGCTGTGCTGCGTGGCTTCGGCAGCCACAGCGCCAGGCAGCGAGGGCCTGCGCTCACCTACTGATCGGGTGAGTTGCTTGTGCTGCTCGTCTCCCCTGGTGCAGGAGTTTGCGTCCTTCAAGGCTGCATGGCAGGAGAACGACTTCCGCGCCTGGATGGATCAGCGCAAGGTGGGCATCGAGCGCTACCGCGGCCTGACTGGCTCGCGGCAGCGCCCCACCGGCGCCAGCACCGCCGCTGCGCAGCGCGAGCAGCAGGTGCGGCAGCAGCGAGAGCGGCGGCAGCAGCTGCAGCAGCGCTGGGAGCAGCAGGTGGCGCAGTCCAGCTCTTCTGTGTGCGAGGAGCAGGAGGAGTATCTGCGGGAGCAGCAGCTGCTGGAGGAGCAGGCCGACTTCTGTGAGTGGCCACAGGAGGAGGAGCAGGCCGACTTCTGTAAGTGGCCACAGGAGGAGGAGCAGGATGCGCATGTTCAGAGGGCATAAGCCCCTTGTCACCTCTGTGGTTCGCTCCCAACAAATCGCTCTCAACAAATCATGTTTTAGAGATCGCGCTTTCATGCCATGCTTGTGGCCGCCCATTGGCGGTTTTGCTGTGTGATGAGCGCCGTGCGTTTGGTACTCTTTGCCAGCCAGCTTGTTGGTCACCGCTTGCCAACCTACACACAACCACGCAACGCGTGGTCCCAGTTTTCCCCGTTTTATTTGCTGCCCAGCATTCCTGCCAACATATGTGCATGGTTGCATGTTGCATTTAAGCAGCGATATGACCATTGATGCTGTACTCGATTGAACAGAATCAATCCATCTCGTCAAGGGAAGGAGCCGCCCAGTGCCTGGCTGTGCCTGGCACTGCACTGCCGCATCGCCACGTCCCCGCCAGTCAGCGCCAGCCTTTTTGACCGAAAGGTCCCTTCCTCTCCCACAGCCACCACTCTTTGCGCAAGGCATATCTGCACCCGAAGAATCCAGCGCTGGCTGCTTGTTGTTCCAAGGCACTATTGCTGCAATCTTGCCTGCCAACTGATGGCGCTGAACGGAGCGGCAGGAGGCTGGGGCCTCAAGTATGCTCTGGACAAAGCGGCGCTATTACCTTCTGCAACCCCATTCAGCGTGCTGCTTTTTGGCCACTGCCTGTCGGTTCTTCCTTTGTTTCGCGGTTTCACGCCATACTGGTTGGTCAGCTTGGTGATTGGATTTGTGGCGGCTTTTGGAGGCGGAGCGATGTCGGCACTCATGTTGCAGGTGCGCCATATGCACCACCACCGCCGCCTGCCGCCGCCTGCTTCCAGCACGCTCTGCTGACCTCCCTTTTGCGCAGAGCCCTGACACCGCCGCCGTGGGCCTCTTTGCCCGCAACGAAATCGGCATTTGCTACGTGCTGGCTTGGTGGGCTTATCACTACTTCCCTGGCGGCTGGGTGGCGCGAGCGGCAGACTTGCCGCCGTTCCGCGCCGCCTGCAAGGTTGCCCGCTCCATCCTGCGAGCCAACACCGTGGTGCATCGCGTCAATGCCGCGGTCAAGTTGCACCCTGGGGTGGTGGCGGCGCCGCTAGTGCTGGGCACGCTGGGAGGCTGCGGCGGCCGGCTGCTGGTGGATGCCTTTAGCCACTGCGCCGGCTACAAGCAAGGTGCTGGTCTTGTCTGCCGGAATCAAGCAGTGTGGCAGCGTCTGCCGGATGCATGCATCGTGCTGTGGTGAAAGAGGGCACGGAGGCGGCGCACCACGCTTCTGGCTGCGCCTGGCACTGCTCCCTGGCTGGGCATGCTGACTGCCGCCACACCTGTGGCTGCTGCCCTCTGGCTCGCCTCCCATGCAGGCCCCAACGAGCTGTCGCACCCAGGCTATGTGCTGCGCAGCGCGGCCACGGGCGCCCTGCTGCAGTACCTGCTTGTGCACGTGTCGGGTGTGCTGACCAGCCAGCAGGGGCTGGGCCTCGTCATCTCGCTCTACGTGGCGCACAGCCTGGCAACAGACCTGACGTGGGTTGCGGCGCCAGCGCAGCGCAAGCTGCGCCGTGCTGCCATGCGCTGCGGGATGGTGGCCCTTGCTGGCGGCCGTGCCTGCACTTGGGTGCTGCTGGCGGGGCGGCATAGGCCGCCTGCGGTTGGCTGCCACCTGCGGGCTGTGTTGCAGCTCTTGAACTGCCCTTGCGCTGCACTGCGCTCAGCGCCACACTGGTTGCATTTTCGTGAGTGCAGGGGCCAGCCATGTGACTACACTTCGCCGCTGGGCAGCCTTTTCCACAAGGTGCCCCTGCCTGCCCGCAAGCTACCTGCGCCTAAGCTTGCAGTGCACGTGAGAGCTAGGCAATTGGATTGACGATCACCTAACCAACCATGCCTGAGCATCGGTGCCTCTGCCTGCTCAACGCAGGTCACGCTGATTCCAGTGCCAGGCAGCGCTGGTACTTACGCTGCCGCTACTGCTGCCACCATGGATGGGAAAAACGGCAAGACGCCGCGGCCGACTCGCCGCCGCGCCTCTGTCGCCGCCACCTCTGGTGGGGAGCTGACGGCGGGCGAGAAAGAGCAGGCGGCGCTTGGCAGCAGGCCATCGCGGCGCACCACGAGGCGCAGGGCCGCTGTGCCCAGCACGGACTGAGCCACGAGGTGTGCCAGCCTGGGCACCTGCGAAGCTTGTAATGCTTTGCTTTTTCTCCTCACTGTTTGTTTCATTGTTGCCGCTGAGCATCCCTGGCCCGCTCCTCAGCTTGAACTGTCTCAGTATTTACAGGATTTCGGTACGTATGCAAATAGGCATGTCGTATCCAATAATGTATTAAGGGACTTCTACTATTTGCAGCGAGCAAATCTGTACAGACAAATCAAGGAGTCTACTGACTTGGGAGGAAATCCCAATCACGATGCCGTAGTACATGGTAGGTGTCAATCCAGTTTCAAGGTGTATTCTTTGGCTACGCTCGATTCGGCACTCCCTTGCACTACTCTCACAGGCAGTTCTGTGCCTTCTGCAGAAGTAACTTGCGAGAACACATTGTTCATTGTTAAAAGGATGCCGTGGACCAGTATCAGCAAGCATACTCGTGCCATCTGATCCAAACGAGGGGGGGGGGGAGGGTAACTTGCCTGGTTCCAAACCAGGTTGCCGTTGCACTTCTGCACGAAGGCTCCCTGCGTGCTGCACTCGACATAACCGTTCTTGTTGCCGGGCAGGGGAAAGTTGCCGGACTTCTGGCGTGCCTGCAGGAACCAAGAGGCGGGAAAGGGAGGCAGGGCAGGGACGTAAAGTAGGCCCACCAGCATCCTGACAAAGATGAGCTGCAGATAGAGCACTTTGTTTGCTGGTTGTGGGCAGCCAGATGGCATGCATATGGCCGGGCCCAACTCGCCTGGCACACTTGGCAGGCCTTGCGGCTGTTGCCAGCATAAATGTTGCAGTTGCAGCCCGTCAGCCCCACAGCACCAACCCTGCATCATCACCAGCACACGTGTTTTTTGCAGGCAGCACCATTTTATTGTGATGCAGCATAGTGCAGCGCTGCGCATGGGCAAGGGCCATGGCAGCAGCAGGTGTTGCTGTGAAGACCCATCTCGGGCACCAGCGGAGCAGTCTCCCAGACAGCGACGCTCACAGTGCGCAGCCCTGAGGCTTGGTGATAGGGTTAAACGCCTGGCCCCTGGGGCAGGTGGTGGACTTGGTGTCGACCGGCTTGCCCTTCCAGCACTGCACACCGAAAAGAGTTGAAGGGCACGGTCGAGGCCTGATGGCATGTGTCCCCAGGAGGAGGCTGCCACCTGCCAGCTCCTTCATACCTGGTAGTACTTTGCAGAGCAGCCTCCAGCTGCCACAAGGGTGCCATCCTTCTTGCCAGTGCATGGGCCAGCAGCGGTGAGCTCCTGTAGGGACGCAGCAGTGGGTGGGTTAGGGCAGCCAGGGGCAGGCTTAGCCCGCTGGAGAGGGGCTTCCAGCTTGAGAGGAGTCCTCCACGTTCTATGTGATCCCATCTGACCAACGTTGGGCAAACATACACAGCAGCAGGTGAATGTAAAGCATGGAGCGGCGGCACCCACCCTTGCAGACGCGACAGCGGCGAAAGCCAGCAGAGCCAGCAACACACAGCTCTTCATGGTGTCGATGCAGTTGGTGCTTCTGCAACGACATGGAAAGGTGTGGGAGAGGCGTGTTGGGTGTCCGCGGACAGGGTTTGCCACCAAGGACCAACCGCGTCCCGCAGATCGACGTTGGCGGGTGGCCTACCTCACGGATATCGGATGCTGGAGACAGCAGAGAAGAGGCAGGTGGCCGGAAATGATGATGGATGATGAAGAATGCGGTTGTTCGCTCGGGATTTGTTCACCGTGAACACACGGCCGCCGCCGCCAGCTGTGATCGCCGCCGCCAGCTGGCCCCCATGCACAAACAACCATGCCATGCCATGTGGCCCTGGCTACTGCATGTGGCATGCGCAGCTGCTACTCAGACTTGGCAAGCCCCATGCACAACAGCACTGGCCGGCGTCCATGCGCCGCTCCGCCTGGGTACTGCCGGGTGGCAAACGTGGGTTGCACATATGGATGCAGGCACCGTGCAGTGCTGCCTGGAAACAAACGGTCTCAGCAAGGGAACTGTCCGTGGTGGTTTGGACCCTGAGTGCGTCTCAAGTGGGCTGGTTGGGGAAGGAGCAGAAAGGAACAAGCGAAAACAAATCAGGGCAAATAAAACTCGAGGGGGTTTCTTTGGTGGGGTTTGGGCAAGGTGTGGCAAGGTGGGGGAAAAAACTGCTGCCGCGGCAAGCCAAGGTCGGCATGCACGCCTCCATCCAGCAAGCTCACTGGCCAAAGCGCTGCTGCCTGTGCTGGCAAGCGCCTGCTCAGTCGCGGCGGGTGCGGCGGCGGGTGCCCGCCTTGGGCTGCTCCTCCTCCTCCTCTTCCTCAATCTCCTCTGCAGCCGGACAAAAACCAAACAAACACCAAGCAGTCAGTAGCTTCTGGTCTAGACGGTAGGGGTTGCATCTGCCACCAGGCGCCCCACTGAAGCACCCCCGGTCCAGAGCAGGTTGTCATAGTAGTCCCGGCTGCACCCCCGCGACTCACCCTGCTCCTTCTTGCCGTTCTTCTTAGCGGGTGCCTTGTCCTCCTCCTCCTCCACTCCTCCTCCTCCTCGGGCTTGTCATCCTCGCCCGTCGCATCCTGCTTCTTGGCCTCACCCACCTCATCCTGCTGCACAGCCGGGAACGAGAGGGCGAAGGAGACAAGTAAGCTGCAGAACAGCAGCAGGCAGACGGAGGGAGGGGCTTCCCCAAAACAACTATGATACATTGCAGCGAGTTGCTGGCGCTGCCCCGCAGAGCAGCACGCGAGGCTCACCGTCTTGCTGCCGATGCGCGACGTCAGCAGCCAGGCCACGGGCAGCAGCAGCAGCGCGGTGAGCATGCCCAGCAGGCAGACGGGGCGCTGCTCGAAGAAAGCGCGGGCCGGCTTCAGCTGCGCCTCGAGCGGCTTGAGGAAGGGCAGGTCGAAGATGGTGGACACAACCTGCTTCAGCTGCAGCACACAGGACAGGCAGGGCAGGCAGGCAGGTGGTCAAGGGATCTGAAAAGGTGGTTGGCTGCGCCAGGAGAGGCCAGCTGCGACACAGGGAAGAGCAGAGTCTGGACACAGCAGCAGCCAGCCAGCCTGCATTGCAAAAAAGCGGGCTTATCTCCTGGCGAGGCAATCCCCACGCCTCACCTTGTCGTCTACCGCCTGCGTTGTCTCCACCTTCTTCTTCTCCGCCTCTGCCTTGGCCGCCGCCTTGGCCTTCTCCTCCGCCTCCTTGGCATCCTGCAGCCCCAGCAGCCAACCACGCATGCTTGCCCAAAGTAGACAGTACGACCGTCGCTCATGTGCATGCTGACCCCAACGCCCCGGCATTCTCATTGAGCCATGCCATACCCTCCGTCTCGCATGGCAACGAGTCCTGGCTTCCTCCTCCCTCCTTGGTTGCCCGCCTCACCTCAATGACCTTCTTGGGCGCCCAGCTCTTCTCCCGGACCTCTGCCGCCTCAGCCTCGCTGTTGCTGACCACCACATTGTCGAAGAAGTAGCCGTCGTCCATGGTCCAGATCTCAATGGCGGCCGCGCCCACCTGACAGAGGCCAACCGCACCACAGAGAGGTTGGAGTGCAGCTTGCATGTTCAGGGCGCACGGCCAGCCACGAGCGAGCATTGCGTGCATGCAGCATCCCAGGAACAGGCGTGCCAGCGGGCAGGGCCAGCCGGCGCACCTTGCCAATGTTGGTCAGGGGCGCAGGGTCCTTCACATAGTCGGGGTTGGGGATGTCCTGAGGCTTCCACACACCCTTGTAGGCGGGGTTGTCAATCATGGGCGCGCTCCACTTGCCCTTGTAGGCAGGGTTCTGTTGGGGTGAAGCATGGCAAGAAGGACGTGCTTAGCCAAGGGAGTGCAGCAGAATGCGATTGGCAGTGGGAATGTATGGAGAATGCGCAGCCCCATCACTGCAGACCACTCGCTCACCGGCTTGGTGGGGCGCTTCCACTCGCCGCAGCCGGGCGCGTCCTTGCAAGCGGGGTTGGCAATCTTGGGAGGCTCCCACTCGCCGTCCTCATCCTCATCCCAGTCCTCAGGCTTAACAGCGGCTGCAGCAGCCCAGAAGAGGCACACCAGAGGCCTGGTTTAGCACCAACGGGCAGCGACGGCAGCAGAAACAACAGGTCGAGAAGCAGCAGCAACGCCGCATTACGCAGCACCAATCAGCGCAGCACCGAGCAGCAGGAGGCTGCTCCGCTCACTCGTGTCGTCAATCTCGGCCGGCTCATTGTCGAGCCAGCCCTCGGGCTTCTGCGCATCCTCATCGGGGATAGTGCTGCAGCCAGCATCCAGGGATGCACACATCAGATGAACTGTCACCCCAGGCAGGCAGCCCCGTTCTGGTAATGCATAACGTGAAGCCGCTGCTGCTCCAGGGAGCCCTTTCTTGCTTTGCCCGCTGCACACCCACACGCTGCCGCCCTGCATCATGCATATGCCACACTTGCTCACCGGGGCGCATCCTCATCCCAGTCCTCGGGCTTCTTGGCATCGGGGTCAGCAATCCTGCAGGCAAGACGGCAGCGAGGCGGCTGTGTCAGCAGCATGGCTGGGGCGCAGGCACCAAACTAGACAGCGCTGAACTGGTGCAACCGACAGGAGTGAACACCGAAACGGGGGGCTGTGTTGTTAAGCGGCTGAGCAGCAATCGTCTGATCCCCTGCACCAAGCAGCAGCAGCCATCACGAACAAACGACATCACGCACCGGGCCTCATCCACCCAATCCTCGGGCTTCTTCTCATCTGGGTCGGGGATGGTCTCGGGGGGATTGATCGAGGGCTCAAAGTCCTCAAACATGCTGCCGGCCTTCTTCTCCACGCCATCGATGAGCACGGCATAGCTGCACGTTGCGGAGCAAGCAAGCAGCTTGGTCGATGTCAATGGGCACGTGTAAGCATCCACCGCCATGAAATGCAACAGGAGCAACGGCGCCCAGCTTGCTGAATTTTTCAGGCCTTCCACCCATTTCTCTAGCACGCAAGCTGCTGCTCTTTCCTCCACGCGCACACATGCATCTGCAACACCCTTCTTCAGTTGCCATCGCTGCCTGCCGCGCACCTGTTGTTGGAGGCGCGCAGGATGGCGGTGTACACGTGCGTCTTCTTGTCGCTCTCCACCATCGGCGGCATCTTCAGGTGCTTCTCCTCGATCTCGCCCGTTTTGGGGCTTTTATGGCGCAGGATCAGGTGCACCTGCAGCTCAGAAGGCAGGCAGGCAGTATGGAGAGGGCAGGTGGCGGCGAGGCGGTGGGCGGGTGGCGGGAGTGCCTCAGGCGACCCAACTGCATTGGATCGGCGATCTCCTCACCTTGTTGGTCGAGCCGCACTTGTCGGGGCCAAACATGACCGTGTAAGGGGTGTCGTCCTTGAGGCCGCTGGGGGTGAAGGCATCGTCGGCTGTGACAAACTTGATGTAGGCGCCGCCGCAGCTGAGGCCGTTGGTCAGCTTGAGGTCATACTGCAGCACCAGGTCGCTGGCGGGGTCCACCGCCTCTGGAAGGGCCTTGCTGATGCCATAGTGCTTGGCCTTCTCTGGCACCTGCGAGCGTCGCAGGTGGGCCTGGTGAGTGCACAGCTATGCAGGCAGGCGGTGATCAGTGTCCGGTGCCCATGATCGGCATTTGCAAATGCCGCTGCGTTCACCTTGAGCGCCTTCACTGCGTCCAGGCCCTCAGGGCTGGCCACCACGAACTTTCCGCTGTACTTGCCGTCGTCAGAGTGCGTCCATCCGTCCAGAGTGCCGCTCGAGAAATCGAGGTGCACCGCGCTGGCCGTGGCCAGCAGGCCCAGTAGCAGCACAGCCCGCATGATGCCTGGATAGAGAGTGGGCGATAGGGCCGCGGCCAGGAGACGCGCCCCAACCAATGCGGTACGGCAGCGAGGCGGTGCCAGTACAGTGGCGGGGGCCGCCGCCGCCCGACGGACCCCACATTTTAGGGATATCCTGGCAGCTGCAAGGCCAGTGTGCTTGAGGTAAACACTGCTGCTATCTGCTCGCTTTCTGCTGCTGGAGAGACAGCGGACAGAGCGCCACCAAGCACGGCGCGTCACGAGAGGCTTACAGCAGCAGAAATGAAATACGGCTCCTCAGGGCCAGGAGAGCCCATAAATCACGAACGGAACGAGAAAATGCGCGCACGGGGGCGCGCTCAAGCTGAAGAAACAAGGGCGCCGGCGGCCGTGGCCGGCGAGACGCGGCACAAAGACGTGCACCAAGCAAGCTGTGGCTCTCTAAAGCTCCGCCTTGTTCTCCTCCTCAGTCTCCTTGTCGTCCTCCTGCAAGTAAGAGGGGCGCAACAACACAGGTTTAGCCCTTTAAAGGCCTGTTCCAATAGCATAAGTTGCAGTGCAGTGAGCGGCGTGGCATCTACACACGCAGCCAACAATGTTGCTGCAGGCGGCCGCGCTCACATCATCGCCATCGTCATCTGCTGCATCCGGCGCCGCCTCCGCCTCTGCCTTCTTGGCTGCCTCCTCAGCCTTGGCCTTCTCCTCAGCCTCCTTGGCATCCTGCAGCATGCAAAAGTCCTCAGCGTCAAGTGCAGGACAAAGAGCCCAAGCATGGTGGCCACACACAAAGTGCGGCACCTGCTGAGCAGCCACCACAATGCGCTGACAGCTGAAGGGTCTGCCTCACCTCAATGACCTTCTTGGGCGCCCAGCTCTTCTCCCGGACCTCTGCCGCCTCAGCCTCGCTGTTGCTGACCACCACATTGTCGAAGAAGTAGCCGTCGTCCATGGTCCAGATCTCAATGGCGGCCGCGCCCACCTGACAGGCCAACAGCACCACAGAGAGGTTGGAGTGCAGCTTGCATGTTCAGGGCGCACGGCCAGCCACGAGCGAGCATTGCTTGCATGCAGCATTCCGGGAACAGGCATGCCAGCGGGCCGGGCCAGCCGGCGCACCTTGCCAATGTTGGTCAGGGGCGCAGGGTCCTTGTTGTGCTCGGGGTTGGGGATCTCGCGAGGCTTCCACACGCCCTTGTAGGCGGGGTTGTCAATCATGGGCGCGCTCCACTTGCCCTTGTAGGCAGGGTTCTGCGGGTAGGGGCAGGGAGTGGGAAATTTACTTCCCGTGCACACACATGGCTGGCTCGACCTTGCACGGAGGTGCATGCGACATACAACTCGCCGATTCTGCTGGCGCAGGCCTCGCTGCCATATCGTGCTCACCGGCTTGCTGGGGCGCTTCCACTCGCCGCAGCCGGGGGCGTCCTTGCACTTGGGGTTGGGCACCTTGGGGGGCTCCCAGTCGCCGTCCTCCTCATCATCCCAATCCTCGGGCTTCTTGGCCTCTGCACAGGAATGCGTGCGCCATGATCAACATCCATGCCCCACTCCATGTGCCGCGTGAAAGGAGCGCTGCAGGCTGCGCCCTTCCCTTTGTCGTGCAGGCCTTGCCGCAGGCCTGGCTGGCAGCAAGAGCGTGCTGCCAGCAGCTGGGGGGGGGGACATTCCCATCATTCACTTGAACCCCAGCACCCGGTGTGTGCTCACCAGCGTCGTCCACCTCATCAGGCTCCTCATCCAGCCAGCCCTCGGGCTTCTTGGCATCCTCATCGGGGATCTCGCTGCATCCACACAGCCACAGGCAGGCGTCATGGCGGGGGAGACAGAGGGCAGGCAGGAGCTGCTTGCCCAGTGTGCCGCGGGCACTGTCGGTGCAGCGGTACTGTTGTGCCAGGCTGGCCATGCTGCTCACCGGGGCGCATCCTCATCCCAGTCCTCGGGCTTCTTGGCATCGGGGTCGGCAATCCTGCAGCCAAGCCGTTGCAACTCAGCATCTGAGCCAACGCATGAACGCGGCCGGGCCGCTGCATAACTGCCCCGCTTCCTCCCCGCCTTCCTCCCAGCCCTGTCTGCATCTGCGATGCCACCCCAGCTTGCCGTGGCATCTCACCGGGCCTCATCCACCCAGTCGGAGGGCTTTTTGTCCTCTGGGTCAGGGATGGTCTCGGGGGGGTTGATGGGGGGCTCAAAGTCGTCAAACAGGCTGCCCGACTTCTTCTCCTCGCCGTCCACCAGCACCGCATAGCTGTTGTTGGAGGCGCGCAGGATCGCGGTGTACACGTGGGTCTTTGAGTCGGTCTCCACAAAGGGAGGCGACTGCAGGTGTTTCTCCTCGATCTTGCCGGTCTTGGGGCTCTTGTGGCGCAGGATGAGGTGCACCTGCGCGCAGGCGGGCACAGCGAGCGGGAGCAGGCTGGTCGTCGGTTGCGCTGTGCAAGGTGCTGCGCAAGGCGGTGCAGCCAAAATGCGGCCGGAGCAGCCTGTCCACATCTCATGTGCAGCACAGCTGCCTGCCAAATGCCATCAGGTAGCCAGATGCCAGCGCCGCACCTTGTTTGTGTCGCCGCACTTGTCGGGCCCAAACATGACGGTGTAAGGGGTGTCGTCCTTGAGGCCGCTGGGGGTGAAGGAAGCCTCATCAGTCACGAATTTGATGTAGGCGCCGCCGCAGCTGAGGCCGTTGGTCAGCTTGAGGTCGAACTGCAGCACCAGGTCGCTGGCGGGGTCCACCGCCGCCGGCAGCAGCTTGCTGATGCCATAATGCTTGGCCTTCTCTGGCACCTGCACCATCCATTCCTCATTGGGAAAAGTCTGGGCATGTGCGCAAACTTGACTGGGCTGCGCGATCGCGTCCCCCGCGGCCTCCCGCCCATGGAAGGATCCTCCCCTCACCTTGAGCGCCGTCACTGCGTCCAGGCCCTCAGGGGTGGCCACCACGAATTTTCCCTCGTACTTGCCGTCGTCAGAGTGCGTCCATCCGTCCAGAGTGCCGCTCGAGAAATCGAGGTGCACCGCGCTGGCCGTGGCCAGCAGGCCCAGTAGCAGCACAGCCCTCATGGTTCACGAATGCAGAATTGCTGATGCTGACGATCGGAGCCCAAGTTTTGTCCAGGCGGTGAGGTGTCACAGTACAGAAAGTACAGAATGCGCCAGCGCGCGGCGAAGGCGCGCACATGGCCAGCCTCGGAACATGCATGGGCGCAATCGCACCACTACACAAGATCCATGTGTCTGCTTCTGCTACACCAGGCGAAATGAACGCACTGCACTGCACGGACACTCGCGAATCCCGGACAAGCACACGCTGCAGAACTGCCCGCCGTCACCGCCTGCCGCCAACCGCCGCTGCCGCTGTGAAAGCCGGGGAACATCAGAGCCTACAGGGCTGCACCCCTTCATACCAACCTGTCGACAGCCAATCCTGCATCTCGGACGTGAGCACCCCTGGGCGCATGTGCGGGAGCGGCGCAGTACGCGGTCGCCACTGCGCAGTACGGCCGCCATGTATCTGCGGCCTGGACGAGAACCCAGGACTCGCTGCCCCCCTTGACACTGAACACTTCTGCACTTCAGTGACCATACACAAGCACCTGCACCTTGATTGCCACATGGCGATCAAGTTGTGTCTCGCGGGTTCAAGCCTCTGGGTTGCTAAGGCGTGAGGCTTTTCATTCTAGACGAGATGCCGGTATCTGCGCGGCAGCCACGCAGGCTGTCCCCCGCCCTGGTGCTGGCGGCGGTGGCGGCGGCGGCATACCTCAACACCCTGCCCGCCCAGTTCACCTTTGACGACTCCTTTGCCGTGGTGCGCCCACCGGGGAGCTGCTACTGCTGTCGAGCGGAGAGAAGTCGCGCAGCCGGGCCGTCTGCATGGGGCGCCGCAGGAGCACATCCCATTTGCTGGCGTGCCACTCCAACCGCTCCCGCACTACCTGTGTTGCAGGTGTACAATGGTGATGTGACGGATCTGAACAAGCCACTTCTGGCTGTCTTCCGAAACGACTTCTGGTGCGGAACCGCCCCCTTCAACGCTGCCTGCTGGGTGTGCCGTGCCCCTACCTGCTCGCTGATGGGGCGGCCGTGACTCTGCTACTGCTGCCGCTGCCGCTGTTTCTAGGGGCCAGGACATTCGGTCACCAATGTCCCACAAATCTTACCGCCCCTTGACCACCCTCTCCTTCCGTGCCCAGCACTGGGCTGGCTGGACATTGCGGCAAGGTGCGTGGAGTGCTGCTTCGTGGCAGCGCTTTTATCTGCAGGCCTCGCATCCTGGGCCGAGCAGGGTTGGATCATTCTGCTTGCCCTGCCGTGCAGGGCTAGGGGTCGAGGAGGTCGACCAAGACTGGCAGCAGCAGGGGGGCCAGCGGCGCAACGAGCAGGGCCGCACAGCCAGGCCATTTGTGTTCCACCTCACAAATGTGGTTGCCCATGCGGCGGTGACCGCTCTGGTGTACCGCCTGGCCTGCCAGCTGGAAGCTGCCCGCCGGCTGCCCAGCAGACCAGTGTCAGCTGCTGCTGGCAGTTGCAGCACTGCTTCCAGCTTGGTGGCAAAGCTTGAGCCCTTCCTTGCAGCGCTGCTGTTTGCGCTGCACCCGGTGCACACTGAAGCGGTGGCGGGCATTGTGGGGCATGCCGAGCTGCTCTGCGCCGCCCTCTCCATCCCTGCCCTGCTCTGCTACATGGCAGCAGCCGACGGCCGGGTGGCCGACATGGGCTCACACTGGCGGCACGTGGCGGCGGCCATGCTGCTTGGCTGGGCGGCGGCGCTGACAAAGGAAATAGGCATCACTATTGTGAGCTGCTGCTGAAGCTGCATTCGTGTCATGCGTAGGCAGCTTTGCTGTCTGTTGGTGCCCTAACTACCGCCTGCTGCCGCTGCTGGCTTCCTGCCCGACCCGCAGATGGGAGCGATGCTGTGCTATGATGCGCTAGTGGCTCCATTGGCCTTCCGTCTGCAGCCCCCAGGGCCAGCAGCAACGGCAGCAGACTTGGCCTCCAGGCAGCAGCGCCGGCACTCGCACTCGCAGCACAAGCCGAAGCAGGTGTCACACCCGCAGCCGCGGGCCACTCGCTCTCCCCTGAAGCTCTCGCCAACCTCCACAGCCAACAGAATGGCCAGCAGGGCCGCCACTCCAGCCGCGGCTGTGGCCGCCGCCGCCACGGAATTGCTGGAGCTCGCAGCAGCGACGGGTGGCCGCGGCAAGGGCAGCAGTGTTGTTGTGCCAGCGCTGGATGCCAGCTCCGCTGCCGACGCTGCCGCCTGCAGGCAGGGCCTGAAGCTGAAGCTCCAGCGCATGGCACTGGCGGCAGCGGCGGTGCTGCTGTACATACAGGCCAGGTCCTGGCTTGCGGGCGACCAGGTATGCTGGCTGGAGCTGAGGCAGCGATGGCTTGCTGCCTTGCCACTGCAACACATCGCTGTCAGCACCTGCCTGTCTGCCACTGTCTAACCTGCTGGCCCTGCCTGCCGCTCTCCAACGCCTCCCTGTTTGCATTGAGCAGCTGGTGCGCATTTATCGCAAGATTGAGAACCCCATCCCGTTCTCCCGGTCCTCCCTCACACGCGCGCTCACAACTGGCTACCTGCATGCCCGCTACGCGGGCCTACTAGTTGCACCGCTGCAGCTGTCAGGTGGGGCCTGATCCCTCCCCTGGACCATCTGCTGGCTTCTGCTGCTGCTGGCCTGGCGCTTCTGTAAGTCGGCTGACCATCGGCTGTGCCTGTCCCTCCCCTGCCACTCCCTGCCCATGTGCAGCCGACTGGTCTTACGCCTGCATTGACTATGTGAGCAGCCTGTACGACCCCCGTAACCTGGCCACAGCAGCACTATACGCTGCTTTGCTGGCTTTGCTGCTAGCAGCCAGGCCCTGGGACGTCGTACTGGAGTGGGCGGCGGGGCGGAGGGGCGGGGCGCTGTCGCAGGCGCAGCATGAGCGGCGGTGGCGCTTGGCAGTGGCTGCGGGCCTGCTGGTGGGGCCTTTCTTCCCGGCCTCCAATGTGCTCTTCTATGTGGGCACCTTCATTGGGGAGCGCCTGCTCTACTTCCCATCAGGTGATGGTGCTGCAAACTGTTCTTCTCTGGCCAGCAGCTCTCAATGCATGCCTCTCCAAGCTCTTGCCTGCGTGCATCCTTGATAAGCACTGTATGACGCTGTGTACTGCAGTTGGCTATTGCATCTTGCTGGCGCAGCCGCTGGCTGCGGCAGTGCAGCCCCTAGCACAGTGCTGCGCCATGGGCAGCAGCGGCACCCCTGCCGGCGCCAATCGTAACGGCACAAACGGCAGCGCAAAGCCGCCGCGATGGCGGAATGCTCGAACAGTGGCGGCGGCCCTGGTGCTGGCAGCCCTTCTGTCTTTCTTCACTGTCAAGACAGTGCTTCGCAATCGGGATTGGATAGACGAGGAACGGCTGTTTATTGCAGCACAAAAGGTAGGATCGGCTAGCTCTTTTATGGGTGCTTTTGGGAACATGGCCCCTCTTTGGCCCCTTACCCCTTGCCTGCTGCTCTGCTCTCCTTCATCCATTCGACCATGCAACTGCCGGCGTTCTACAGGTATGTTGGCGCAGCGGCAAGGTGCAGCTGAACAGTGGCATCATCGAGCGGCGGTACGAGCGGTGGGAGCAGGCGGAAGCGCACTTTCGGCTGGCGCAGGTTGGCTTCATGTTGGCTTCCAGTCCACCATGGGCCCAGCGCGTTCAAGGCTTAAGAGACCACTATCCAGCTGCGGTTATGGGCACGTGCTGATTCCTGCATGTATTGCCTGTACCGTCTGCAGGCTGCCGATCCGTATGGGTACTGCGAGCCGCAGTACCACATCGCCCTCACCCTGCTCAGCCGCAAGTGAGCCTGCGGTACTTGCCACATGGCAACGCTCTGCTGCATCTGTGTTCCCTGCCGCAAGCAAAACAGCTCACACATGTCCCTCAAGAAATGCCCTGCCCACTCTGAACCGCCCTGCTCCTCCTTGCCCTGCCCCTTTCTGCTCCAGTCTGTCCTGTCCCGCCCCAACCTGCCCCACCCCAACCTGCCCCGCCCTGCGTTGCCCCGCCCCACTCCGCCCTTCCCGTCTGCAGCCTGACCAGGGCAGTGGAGTATTTGGAGCGTGGTGTGGCGTGCAAGTACACGGCGGCAGACTCCATCAAGGCCCTCAACCAGATCTACCTGCAGCTGCTGGACCGCAACCCAGACCACAGCGCCAGTGAGTGGGCGGGGGTGGGGTCGCGTGATGCATGATGGAGGGGGATGGGGAGGTTAGTTGGGAGGATGGCGGCGCGGAGGTGAGGCGTGTGCGTGTAATGTCGGCGCAAGGTGTGCGGTGAGCCAGGCAGTAGTGGTTGCGGTGCTTCGCTTAGACCAGTTATGGAGCTGACAGCCGCCTGCTGTGCCTGTTCTGCCTCACTTGCTGCAGCCCTGCTGGAGCGCTGGGCCAGCGTGCTGGCCCGCCCCCAGCTGCAGCGCTTCACCGAGGCAGCCACCTACTTCGAGAATGGGGCCTCCAAGGTGGAGACCTCGCTGCAGGCCATGGTGCTGCTCAACAGGTGGGGCGTATGCCAGGTCGGCAAGGTTGAAGGCACGCTGTGCGCTGTGATGCTGCCAACCCTGTCCAAGCCGCCCGCTCTCCGTCCACCCCACTTCGATGCCTGATCTCGCCATGCTGCCTCATTCACCCGCTGCAGGGCCCAGGCCATCCTCAAGGAGGCGCAGGCAGTGGACGTGGGGCGCACGCCAGAGTTCCCGGTCAGGGTGCCGGCCTCACGGCGCCAGCTGGACCACCTGCTGCGCTGCATGCTTGCGCGGCGCCCCGTCATCCTGGCCATGCTGGAGGCGCACGGCAACCTGCAGGCACCAGGCGTGAAGCAGGCGGCGTACAGGTGGGGGAGTGGAGGCCGACGTCGACCCCGCTGCTGCGGTCGTTTGTTGTTGCAGCCACGCCAGCACCTAGCGTGGACATCTGCCTGCTTGCGTTCCGTCCCCAGCCCGGCCCTGCATGCAGCCCTGTTCAACGCCTTCCTGCCTGCCTCGCCACACCCCGGCCTGCAGCTACCTGCGCGAGCATGGCGAGGAGTGCCGGCAGCCCATGCCAGTGCAGGAGGGCGCCGACCCTGAAGACAGGGTGGCTCGCTCTACCACCTTTCACACAGGACTGATGCATGCGTGAGCATTGCCGAGAGTTGCCGGTGCCTGCAGCGGCGTCACTGCCTGCGCTCGTTCTGCCAGCTGCTGGGGACGCTGGCGGGTTGTTCTCTCATCGGGCTGCTGGATGCCAGGCGGTGCTGCCACGTAAGCCGACCTGTCGAGCAGCATTGTACGGTCCGTGGGCTGTGCAGGCTCCAGGAGGCAGATGTGAATGACCCCTGGCTCCAGCAGGAGTGGGGGCTAATGCTGGTGGCCAGCGGGCGCACACAGGAGGCGCTTGCGCACCTGGAAGTGGCAGGTGGGTTGGTGGGCTGTGTGTGGCATGTGTGGGTGTGGTGTGTGTGCTTATAAGGAGTCACTGAGGTCCTTCAGGGACACGATTCCTGTGGGCACATGCGTTCTGTTCACCTTCCGTTCATGCTGATGCCTGCTGTGCTGCTTGCGCAGGCCACATTTTCGCTGCCCAGCTGCAGCCGCCCAGGGCAGCGCTTGGGAAAGGGCTGAAGCGCGGCGCGGTGCTGGATGCCGAGGGCGAGCGCGCGATCAGCGAGGCACAGGCGGCACAAGCTGCTGTCGCCGCATACCGGCACGCCAAGGCAGCTGTGGAGGCGCTGAGCGCGGCACGAGGCCGGCTGGACCCTGTCGCGCGGCTACGCGTGCTCTGCCACCTCCAGCATCAGCAGTGCAGTGTGGCACAGCAGCAGGCCAGGCTGGGGCGGGAGGCGCAGCGTGCGGCAGCGGCTGGCGAGCTGCAGAGGTGCTTGGCGGAAGGGCTGGCGCTGGGCTGCCCTGCGGACGGCGGCGATGCTGAGCGCAGCACAGCAGCAGCAGGAGGGCAGCCAGATGCAGCAGTGCGCAGGGGTGCGCAAGATGAGTTATAGGGCACCTCATTCTTGGTATCTGCTTTTGCCTGCCTGATGTCTGTCGGCGTGCTTTATCGAGCGCTGTGCGAAATCGGTTCACCAGGCCTGCTTAGCCGCTCGCACCAAGCATTTCCTCCTGTGGCATTTTCTCACATAAGTGCACGCCAGCCAAGTTGCATGGCGTCGTCGCGCATCAAAAAGCATGCAGTGGGAGGGGAAGAGGCATGGTGCACAAAGAGCAGGGCAGTGGGCATTCAGTGCAGTCAAGATGCAGGTCTCGCCGTGTCAAGAAAAAAGACTGCAACAGATTGCTGTTGAGTTTTCCAAACAGTGCTTGCAGCAGCAGTGCTGATTGCGCTGGCTGACTGGTGGTGTAGCAGCAGGGCAGGGGTGGGAGCAGGGACTGGAAGAAGCAGAGGGGTAGGAGCGCATGTGCAGGGGCAGCAGCATGCCGCGCACAAGGAAGGGGCTGGGCCCCCAGGTGCCCACACAAGCAACCAAAAGGGATTCAGGCGTAGAGAGGAGGGAGGTTCGTCATTTGTTGGTTGGTGCCGGCCATGCCGCAGCGAATGCGCTGCGTGCGGTGCGCCGGGCGGCGGCGCGCTCCGCCAGCAAGCGGCCCGCCCCCGGCAAGCGCGTCAACTAGAGGCCAAAGCACGGCACCCTTCCTGGACTCAGGCGGTCTTGGGGCCGGGCTTCTTCTTGGTGGTCTCGGTGTACAGCCAGGTGCCGAGCAGGGCAATGGCGGTACCGACCTGGGTCTGCATGGTCAGCTTGTTGCCGAAGAACAGCACTGCAGCCGGGACGGGGGCGGCGGGACTCAGCCTGGAGGTACTGACGGATACCAGCCGGTCCGAAATGCAGAAAGCCAGATTGCCCTGGGCTCGGGCGCCCCCGTGCTGCCCCACACATGCAGGCACAGGAGAGGGGGAGGCCCCCAGGCAGGCAGCCAGGCTGGGTCGCTCACCCGAGGTGGCGATGATGGCCACGCGCTTGACCACGTTGCACACGCCGTGGGAGACGGGGGATACGCGGGCCAGCGTGTTGAAGGCAAACTGGTTGTACAGGTGGTAGAAGAGGCCCACGCTGAGCAGCGCGCCGTAGAACTGCGTGGCGCCCTTCTCCGCCACCTGCTGCTTGATGGCCTCCCACACGCCCCTCTCGAAGAGGAGCACGCCGGGGGCGCAGATGAAGACGGAGATGAGGGTGGTGTAGGCGTAGATGCCGGTGGAGCCCAGGTTCTTGATGGTGCTCATGGCCCTGCACAGCGGGGTGGGCGGACGCGGGCGGGCAGCACGATGTGGGCGGCGGGCGGAGGCGCAGGCCGGGTGGCGCACACAAACGCACGAGGAGACGCGCCGCAGCTGACGGAGGCTACAGGAAAAGGCCAGCAAGTGGTGGGTGCCGCCGCGCCAGGCATGGCAGCAGCCCGGCCCGGGCGGCGGCGCCTCACTTCTTGGACCACACGGCGCGGAAGCCAAAGGTGAGATTCGATGCCATGGCCGTGAGGAAGCCGGTCCAGTTGAAGGACAGCTCGGCGGCGGAGGCCATGGCCACGCCCGCCATGATGGGGACCAGGGAGGCGATCACAGGGAGTGGCGTGGAGGTGCCCAGGATGAGCTGCAGGGCAGGAGCGGCGGCATGCCAGCAACAGCACCGTTGAGCAGGTTGGTAGCCTGGTCGGGCGCCGGGGATGGGGAGGTGAACAAGAGGCGGGGAGCAACTACAGAGCAACCCATCCTGCAGCCCAGCAGCCGCAGCAATCCAGCCGCACAACACAGCAGCACAGGCAAGTGGGCCCGACGGCTGCCCGGCTGGCACGTCAGCTCATCGCCACCTCTGCGCCAGCTGGGCAGCGCCGCACCTGGCTGAGCACCACGTTGAAGGCAGGCTCCAGCGTCTTCACGGTGTGCGTCAGCGAGATGGCGACGGCGGCAAACGACAGGTTGGCTGCCACGTGGCCGACGGCGTGCATGGTGGCGGGGCCCGCGATGGAGGCCAGCTCATCCTTGGTGATGGGCTGCACACAGCAGGGCAGGAGCGGGAGCAGGTGCACGGGGTCGGCTGAAGGCGAAACTCGCCCAGGAGGCCGGGCGGCAGCGCAGCGGCACGAACACGCCACTCCGCACCAGCGGCTACTAATACACGACCACTCATGACCCAAGGCCCCTGCACTGTGCACACCCCTCCCGCAGGCGCCTCACCCGCTCAAAGGAGGCCTTCTTGGCGCCCAGGATGTACGCGATGATGCAGTACACCGCGCCCACCACCACGTGCACCGTGGACACAAACCAGGGGTAGGGGAAGTAGTTGAAGATGACCTTGTTCTGCGGGGAAGGCGGGGTGTGTGGATTTAGGCGGGGTAGGCATTGGCACAGGAGCGGCAGCTCCTGTGGGCTGGGCTTGCAAGACGGCGGAGCGCCTGCCCACAAGGGCCGCCATGCCGGCCCCGGCGAGGTCGGCGCGGCCCGGGGTGGGGGCTGGCGGGGCCAACGGCAGGGTTGGAAGATGTGTTGAAGCGGCGCCAGGGGCCCCAGCCAGACCCCACACAAGCCCAGCCCACAAGCTCAGACCCCCACCCCCTGAGACCCCCAAGACCATCACACTGACCTGGAGGTTGAAGGCGATGTTGAGCGCGTACCAGATGGCGATGAAGGAGCAAGTGACGACCTGGGGCGCCAGCTTGGCGCCGGTCACCTTGGCCACCGTGCTGCACCAACAGCGGGGGAGAGAGGGCAGGCGGCGGGCAGCGTCTTGCGCGGGCTCCGCATCGTGCCACACGAACAGGCAGCGAGAGCGGCCTAGCGCCTGGGGCAGGTGCGGAACGGTGTGGCATGCAGTGCATGTGGCGGTGCCAGGTGCATGGCGGGGACCGGTTCCCGCAACGCTGCTCAGCACGCCACTGGCAGCTCGCCAGGTGACTGCTGCCATGGATGTGATGTGTGAGGGCCTTGGCTGGGGCCTCCAGGCTGCCCACCTCCCTGCCTATCCCTGCCTACCACCCTCGCCGCTACGCTGGCGACCTAGCTAGCCCCGGTTCCCCAGCTCTCCCGGCTGCAGCTCGGCCCACCCCAGTCGCTACCATTTCGTCATTTTAACTGTGCAATTCCCCCGCCCACACAGGGAGAGGCCCCCCTACTCCCATCGCACCTCTCAAGGGGGTCCAGCTCTGCCTCTGCTGCTGCCGCGATCACGGCTGTGCGCCGCTGTGCCTTGGGTGCCGCCACGTGCTGCTCCAGCCGCAGGCCCACAAGGGCAGTGGCCTTCAGGCCCACGGGCTGCAGAAGGCGGGGGCAGGGGGAGCGGGGCGGGGCTATTTGGCCTCCTGCCGCAAACTGGCAGATCCCCGAGACATAATCATGCCGAGATCGGGCTGCCGGGGCGCCCCACACCTTGATCGCCGGCCGTGCCGCCAGTCGCAAGCCCTGGCCCGCCGCTGCCCGCACGCAGGTGGTGGCCCGCAGGGCGCTGGTGGTGGTCACGCACTGCATCGTGATGCTGATGGTCGATCGGGCACAGCGATGGAGCAAAAGGAGGGTGCAGGGGAGGCACCAACGGGCAACCCCAGCCGACTCGGATTGGAAACTCCGCTTCAAGATGGGGCGTGGGGCGTGCCTTTGCGGGCGCTAATGCATGGGGAGAAGCCCGCACGATGCCTGGGGTACACCGATCAGCCGTTGGAGCAAGCAGCAGGCCCTGCAGCACTGGCCGACCCGCGCCACCGCCTCGCCGCCGCCGGCTGGCCAGGACCGCACCGCTCATGGAGTGCCCGGGCCAATTGCCGCCGCCGCCACGTCCCAAAAATGAGGTGGTCGATTGCAGAACATACCACCAAGAATGGAGGTCTACTGGAACCTGCAGCGATGGCCAAAACTGTCTCCTGGAGCTCTGCTCTGCGGCTGCTGCTCTACTGCTGCTGACAGCTGCAGTGCGCCCGCCGCAATCCGGGGATTGGTTACTCAGAAACAAATACTAAATGAGGGCAGCAGGGAGTCACAAGCAAGGTGGCACACGATAGGCGGCAGTTGCACGCCCCATCACAGCCCCTCGAACACGCGCATGTGATCGTCTAGCGTGACGCTGCGCCGGATCTGCTGCAGCTGCGTGCGCTCCGCCACCCACCACTCCTCGGGGGCCAGCTTCATGTTGTAGTTGGAGGCCATGGACATGCAGTAGGCGCCCGCATCCATCACAACCAAGCCGTCACCCGCCACCGGCGTGTGCAGCACCCTGCAGGGAGGCGCTCGGGGTGGCGGTTGGTGGGCATGGAGGAGCGGTGCATGGCACGGAGGCTTAGGTTGCGACAGCGGATCCAGGGCAAGCGTTCCTGCAGCCACGGCTCCCCGCCTCTTCGTGCCGCAGCTGCGGCGCCGGCCAGTCCGCCGCCGCTAACCCCAAAACACCACCAGCCTGCCCGCCTCACCTGTCCTTGCCCAAGAAATCTGCCGACTCGCAAACCGGGCCCACCACATCAAACGTTTGCACTTCACTGGCGTGTGGCGCCGTCAGCTCGATGTGCTGGTAGGCATCATAGAGCGAGGGGCGGATGAGCTCCGCCATGGAGCCGTCAACCACGATGAAGTTCTTGTTGCCGTTGGTCTTCACGCCTGCACGGGGACAAGCGCGGCGCAGCAGGTGGATGGCGTGGGCTTGCATGTGCGCAGGCAGCCTGCAATGACCCAAGGCTACCGCCTTGCGGCAGCACATCACCCGGCTGCTAGCCACCGGCGAGAGGTGCGCACCCGTGACGGTGTTGACAAAGGCGGAGGAGTTGGCGACCATGGAGCGCCCCGGCTCGATGACCAGGACGAGGCCCAGGGAGGATACCAGGTCCCGCACTGTGTCAATCAGATCCTTGGGCGTGGGCAGCACGTCGCCCCTGCGACGTGGGGGAAGGAAGTTAAGGCCAAAATGGACGACAGAAGTTGGGGGGTCCCACGCTGCTGCTGCTGCTGCAAGTAGCTGGCTGGAAGTAGCTGGAAGTAGCTGGAAGTAGCTGGCAGTAGCTGGCTGGCGGCCTAGACTGAGAGGGCCTCCAGTCTGCAGTCCACACCGCCACTCACTTCCGGGCATAGTCGATCCCCAGGCCGCCGCCGATGTTGAGGAACTTGAGGTCGAAGCCCTGCTCCCGGATCTGCTTGATGAATTCCACCATGAGGATGGTGGCATCCCGGAAGATGTTGACCTGGCGCCAGGCAGGCAGGGGCAGGCATTGAGTTGTGGCGGCCCAAAGTGCATGTCGGTGGGTATGGCAGGGCTGCAACACCTGCCAAGAAAGGCCTCGCCTCCAGCCCCGCCTGCCATGACATGTTGTCTTGTTGACATGGCCTCGCTAGCCCCACCTTTGTAATGGTGGAGCCCAGGTGGCAGTGCGCGCCCACCAGCTCCAGGTTGGCATCCGCCTTGATCTGGTCCAGGAACCACTGGAGGTGGGTGTTGCGGATGCCAAACTTGGAGCCCGCCAAGCCGGTGGACACGTAGGGGTGCACCTGTACGAGCAAGGGTGAGGCGGGCCGGGAAAGCCACTTTTTAGAGGCTAAGGAGGGAGCAGCATAAGCAGCGGCAGCAGAATGGGTGTCAAACCAAAATGAAGCAAAGGGGCTACCATCAGGTACTGACTGCGGGAAAGAGCCACCAAGTGTGCCAGCAGACACCGCCACACACCTGAGGGTCCACATCGGGGTTGATGCGGATCAGCACACGCGCCCGCTTGCCCACCTTGGCCGCCGCCGCCTGCAGGGGGCAGTGCATGCACACACCATGTGTTCATGCCTGCCTGGGCACAACATCAGTCTCCCAGCAACAAACCTCTCCACACCTGCATCAGCCATCATTCACCAAGCAACCACGCACCTGGATGTTGGCCAGGTCAAACTCAGAGTCCACATTGATGAGCACGCCGTTCTCCACTGCCAGCTCCAGCTCGCGCGGCAGCTTGCCGTTGCCATTGAATATGGTCCTGCAGACGAGCCAGCAGCCCTTAGAAAGTTAGCCCTGCTTTCGCACTGGTCCTCCTTCATGTCAATTGCAAAACTTGCTGCGTTGATCGGGGCAATGGCGGGCAGCACTCCCCATCGCATTGGGTGCACACCTGGTGGGGTCAAAGCCCGCCATCATGGCCAGCCGCAGCTCGTTGCCGCTCACAAGCACCGCGCCGCTGCCCAGCTCGCGCAGGCACTGCAGCGCGGGCAGGGCGAGTGCCAGCAGTGAGGGGTGGTACACACAAACCACCCTGCATAGCCCACGCACCCCGCGTGCGTCCAGCTGGTCCATTCAACTCAGTGCTGCAGGGCAAGGCGCCCGCTGGCGCCCTGTGCGGCAGGACCGGCACCTGCATGATCTTGAAGTTGTTGTTGGCCTTGACCGCATACCCCACGATCGAGTCCAGCCCCTCCAGCGCCTCCTTGTAAGCATTGTAGTTCTGCCTGCAGGGACGCAGGCCAGCCGCGTCAGCATCCACCACTTTTCTCTTCTTGTTCTCTCCTTCTATTCTCCATAGTGCAGCGCTTGTCCCACACACGCAGTGTATAGGGTCTGGCCTCGACCGCTGCCCCCTGCCCTGCAGGTGCCTCCTCCCGGGCGTCCTGCATCCTGACCCCGTCCCACCTAATCTTCTCCTTGCTGTACAGGTAGAAGGGACTGGCGGCAGCCTGCGCGCGAATGTCATCCACCTTCAGTCCATCGCAGTACAAGAAGCCGTCGGTGCCCTGGTAGATGCCCACCCCCTCTCCCGGGGCCTTGATGTATGCTGGGGCCATGCGGGGCGCCTCCACTGGAGCTGCCACTGCTGCAACACGCAGCGAGGCGCGTGGGTGCGCCACCTGCGGGCAGTGGGCCGAGCAGCGGCGGCGGGTGGCGGCAGGTTCTGGCAGGGCTGCCGCACATCTAGCTTTGCTTGGATTGAATGTGTCCAGGGCTCAGGAACGTTCACAGCAAGCGGCGGTGGCCTTTCTGGCCTGCCCTCACCTGCTGCTGCCTCCATGAGAAATGCTGCACAAACCGGGCCGCATGCTGCTGCGAGCTGTGCAGACGAGCTGCACGCCAGGCCTGCACGCACGGCGTGCAGGTGGCTGCAGTGCTGGCGGCGAGCTGCATGTGGGACTCTCCAGCCAAAAACGCCTGAAGGCAACAGCAAGGGCTCGCCGCTGCACAGCAGATAGACCCCCAATTGGCTGCCAGGTTGAAGAACATGCGCAGGTCTGCGGCGGTGCACATGTGGCAGCCCCAAAAAGCTCATGCTCTTGCTCATGCTCTTGTGATTGTTGCTGCCCTCCAAGGGCGGACTGTTGCCATCCCTCGCCTGTGCAGCAATATGCGCGCTGCCGCTGCACCCTGTGCTGTCGGCAGGACCTGTGCAGGCCCCCTCAGACCTCCCAAGGCGGCTGCCAGGCAGCCCAGGCAAGCAGCCGCAATGCAACAGCCTGCTGTGTGCATCTGCCAACCCCACGTCTTGCCGCCGCCACCTGACACCCGCCCACCGCACCCCTCGGGCCTCCGCTCTGCAGGTGCTGCCGCCGTCAGCTACGCATGCAGCTCGCCGCCAGCGTAGGTACAGATGCTGCGGCCGCGGCGCCAGCGGCATGCTTGCCTGAACACGTGGAGCTGGCGCACCGGCTGGCCGACGCCGCCGCGGCCATCACCACTCGCTACTTCCGCACCCCTGTGCCGGTGGACGTCAAGCTGGATGCCAGCCCCGTCACCATCGCGGACCGTGAGGCGG